TCCGATCCATCCCGGCGTCCAAGAAGAAGACGCTTCGTGATGCTGTCGCAGAAATGGCGGAGTTTTACGACCCGTCGATGGCAGCCACGAGGACATTTATGTCACGTCGTCGAGGATCGGAGGAGTCGCCCTTGGCTTACCGGGGGGCGCTGATGGCGTTGGCCATGGCCGCTTACCCCGACGTGACGGCGGATCACCTCGATCCTCTCATCCTTTCCCGTATGCTGGAGCTGTCCCAGGAACTCAACATCTCGCTGCCGGTATGCGGCCACGAACCGCTTACATCGCGATGGGTGGCGCGCTGCTTGGACGCTAAATTTTACATCAAGCGCTGGGATCAGATGGCGGCATGGACGGGGAAACCCGAAATCGACGGCCCACCTTTAGGGTGGTCTCCACGATGGGTTGTCCACTGCTCCGACGACTCCGGCGATGACGAGATGGTGGCTGCTGTTCTACACTGGATCCCGAGACGGCGGCTGAACGACCGGAGTGGTGACTACGCAAGCTGACCACGTGCGGGGGCCGGGTCGACCGACCGCCGGCCGACGACGGCCACGTGCTTCAAGTGTGGCCGACGAGGCCATTTTGCTGCGACTACCGCTGCCGACCTCTGCCTTCGCCGCTTCCGCCGAGTGGGCCTCCATCTCCTCCACCGGGCACGGAGCCGCGACACCCTCGGGCGAGTCGGCGCAAATCGGACACCCGGCAGGTCGTGTCACATCATTCATCCACTCGCACACATAGTTGCACTTCCAATGATAATTGTGATTCTTCGGTGTCATTACCACGCTCTACTACACAATGGAAAAAATTGGCTCGTAGGGTTGTGGCTGCGTTGACGGGTTCATCGACGGTACGGGGTACCATCGATGGCATCGACGTCCGGATTTTGGTGGACACTGGCACGTCTGCCACCATCATTTCAGATGTTATTTTTCATCTTTTGTCTATTCCCACATCGCGAATCTGCAGGGTTAATGACGAATGTGTAGCCGCGAATGGGGGTAGGATGGGTATTTTCGGTCAAGTTGATGTGCGAATTGCTATTGGTAATATTACCGCCGAAGGATCGGTGTTGATCTCGCGCTCACTGGCTGTCCCATGCCTATTAGGCACCGATTTCTTGCGCCGCATGCCACTTAAGATACTGGTCAACCAGGATTGTTTAGAAATGCCGGGGGGTCGTAGAATGTCGTTCCTGCCTTCCCTGCTGGCCCGGTCGCCGCTGGGTAACGCTGTTAATGCCATGGTCGCTGCCACAGTAGAAGTTCCATCGAGCTCACAAATGCTTATCCCGCTGCGTTACCGTAATCCCCTTCAGGTTAAGGATGGTACGATGGGTGTGTTATTATCCCCATCGAATTCGGTGTCTAAATCTTTTTCCTTGGTGGCGGCCCAAACGATCGTACAGCCGGGTCAGGCCCCGTTCATACAGGTGTTGAATGGGGGGCCAGACCGGGTCGTTGTCCCGGCTGGATCGGTATTGCTCACGCCACTACCGATTTCGCCACTTTTGACGGAAAGCCACATATTAAAACACACACCGATGGACCGCCACGCGATCGTTCACAGGAACGGTGGATCGCGGACTTGTGCGGAGAAAATTCATCTTTATCAAACGCGCAGAGGTCTGCTTTGCATTCGTTGTTACTACAGTATGCTGACGTTTTCAGTAAAAATGATTTGGATCTCGGCCGCACGTCGCTTTTGTCGCACCATATTGACATCGGTGCGACACATCCGATTTGTATGCATCCCGCATCGCATGAGCCCTGCAGAAAGGGAACACGTGCGTGGCGTGGTAGACGAGATGTTGGTGGCGGATATTATTTCGCCGTCCAACAGTCCGTGGGGCGCGCCGGTGGTACTGGTTAAGAAAAAGGATGGTGGGACGAGATTTTGCGTCGATTTCCACCGGTTGAATAAGATATCCGTGGCGGACGCATACCCTTTACCACGGATGGATGACTCATTGGACGCTTTGTCAGGGGCAAAATTCTTCTCCAACCTCGATCTGTCCTCGGGCTTTTGGCAGCTCCCCCTCGATGACGCGTCGAAAACCAAGACGGCATTCCGCACGCCACAAGGCCTCTTTGAGTTTAACCGCTTACCCATGGGCTTAAATGCAGCTCCGGCGACATTCCAACGCCTGATGGAACTGGTACTGGCGGGACTACAGTGGGAGACATGCCTCATATATTTAGACGATATTATCGTTTTTAGCCGCACGTTCGAGGAACACCTCCAACGCCTGGAGACTGTCTTTCAGAGGATGCGCTCGGCTGACCTAAAGTTTAAACCAAAGAAATGCCACCTTTTGCAACACTCCGTCCGTTACTTAGGTCACATCGTCAGTTCGGACGGCGTGTCCACTGACCCTCAGAAAACGCGATGTGTCCGAGAGTGGCCTACACCCACTTTGGTGGGCGACGTTCGGCACTTTATAGGCTTTGCATCCTACTATCGCCGGTTTGTTAAGAACATTGCCACGCTGGCTAAACCACTGCATATTCTGACGGGGAAAAATCAGAGGTTTAAATGGGGTCCGGAGGAGGAACGCTCTTTTCACTCGCTTCGGGACCACCTCGCCACGACGCCTACGCTCGACAACCCAGACTTTTCCCAGCCGTTCATCCTTGACACGGATGCTAGCGATATCGGCATCGGGGCCGTTCTGTCGCAACGTAAAGATGGAGTCGAACGAGTGGTTGCATAAGGCAGCAGGGTTCTGTCCCCGGCCGAGACACGATATTGCGTGACGAGGCGGGAACTTTTGGCGATCATACATTTTGTCCGGCTGTACCGGCCATACCTGTATGGAAGGAAATTCCTCATTCGCACTGATCACGCAGCTTTGCAATACTCGTTAAAATTTGACCAACCATCAGGCCAATTGGCTCGGTGGTTGGAATCGTTACAGGAATTTTCCTTCGATATCACGTACCGCAAGGGTGCTCGCCATGCCAACGCGGACGCGCTCTCCAGGTTGCCACCCATTCCTCCATGCGCCTGTCTGGCGGGTATGCACCACTGTGCAGCGCTGCCTACCTTGCCCTGTCCGGTCATGGGAGCGATGTCGAACGAGGACGGCCAGGATGTACCAGTAGGCACTGATGATACCCTGCGGCTGCCGCACTCGGTGTGGCTACGCGAGCAGGAGGCCGATGCCTCTCTGGCTCTGCTGCGGAAACTAATCGGGAAACCGAGAGCTCATTTGGCGGGATGGAAATGGCAGATGTTCCGGGGCCGGGCGGGACTATTGATGTGTACCGATGGATTGTCTGACCAATCACGCCTGGTCGTGCCTACATCCCTTCGCCATGACCTGCTCCGCACTCTGTACGCTGACAAATTAATGCACCTCGGCGTGCAGAAGACTTTGGCCGCAATGCAGAAAGATTTTTTTTGGCCCGGCATGACGGCAGACATTAGCGACTTTGTCTGGTCATGCCATGATTGTGCAAAGAGGAAACCGCCTCGGAAACATTATGTGCCGCCACTACGTTCGATTGAGGTTTCCCGTATCAACGAACTAGTCCCTCTGGACATCCTGGGGCCGTTCCCTCCATCGGCTAGGGGCAACAAATACCTTCTGGTCGGGGTAGAATATTTTTCTCGATGGCCTATGGCCTGGCCTCTGCCTGACCAAACGGCCGCGTCCATCACTGATGCTTTCTTGAATGGTTATGTCATCGATAAAGGAGCACCCGAAAGGCTGCTCACAGATTAGGGACTTAACTTCTCCAAATTGCTCAAGGATGTTTGCGATGCGCTGCGCACAAAGAAAATTCGCACTTCCCCTTCCCATCCGCAAACGGATGGCATGGTGGAACGATTTAACCGCACCCTTTCGGCTATGCTTTGTCACACGGTGAGTGAAAAACAGACCGTTTGGGACTTGCACATACCGGGCGTCTTAGCGGCATACCGCATGGTTCCGCACGCTGTTCAAATAAACCTACCATTAAAATTATAGACTGATAATTGCTTTGTCAGTGGGCAAACGTACAAAATCAGCAGGGGATCAAATACTTTTTTCCATCACTGTATTTGAAGCTTGAGGAGATTGAGACTGTGTGCCTGGCTACAGGCCAGGACCCTCTGGGGGGCCGGCCCGCCTGCAAGCTTTGTGAAAGCGTAGGGCATGTGCAGGGGCCTCGTGTCGCCCGCTGCGCTCTTGTTAAAAACCCTTGCCTCGTTCGAGCGGAATTTATCCGTGGCTCAGCTCGCAATAGCATATTTGCCGCTTATTGCAGTGGTCCGTGGTTCAAATCTAGTTGGCCGACCTGGTTATTACTGGAGGCTGAACTATAAAAAATGTGCTCCATCTGCATCCGTGGCCGTTAAACATTCCTTGATGTCACTCGTAAAGAGTAGGCCATTGTGCTCTTCAAATGTTCGAGATGTGATGTGTAATGTACGTTGCTTGTCATCAAACAAATAAAAAACATTTTTTTTATAATAAATTAGGCCATGCAGGCCTTCGCGCTGCCTTGTCCTTCGTGCTGTGCGGCGTGCCTCCCCTATCGTCCTCTCGGCAGCATTGTTGTCAAAGAGTTGTCCCCCTAATACCAGCACACACCGAGGAAGTGTCCCGAACACCCTGGTGGGTGTCCACACTGACATTAAGAGATGTAATGGGCCTCCGGGCCCAGGACCAGAGGTTGTGTCCTGCTGCCTCCTGATGGTCGTTTGTTAATTTGAGCCTTTTCTCCCTGAATCAATGTGACAGATGCAGGTTTTTCTGGGGTCAACAAAGTGCCACTATGATTTTGTCTGAAATTCACCATTATCTTTGCCGGAGTTGGAGACGTTTTTGCAACGAATGTGACTGTACCCTGCGCACAAATCCTCAAACCATAGGTGTCCTGGACAGAGACGTGAAAATCTGAAATTATTAACCATTTTAATTGGCCGCTGTCCCATCTCTGCTGGTTTTTTTTATAGCCACCCGTGTCGCCATTCCACCACAGACTCCTGGGAGCAGACGCACATACGTTTAAAACATGGTGCCTGTTGGAGCTCCAGCCGACGGCCTCGGAAGATGGGTGATGGTCGTAACTCGCGCTTCATTGAGTCTGAACCGCGCACGAGGCAGCCACTCGTTTGCTCTCACTTGAGATGCAGGTCTCTGGCTCAGCTTCCCGCCTCTCAGGTACAAAAACACCAGCACAATATCATGGTAAGACGAATACAGATATCTCGCAATGCCAGAAGTACTTGGAATTTGATTATCCTGAGTGGTGAGTTATTATTATTACACAACTTAATAAAACCAGAACTTTTAATTTCCCAAATGGATGATCCTGAAAAAAAGACCAGCCAGAGATGCAGCCGGGTGAGCTGGCACTGCTGAAGACCTGGGTTCAATGCGTGGCAGCCGCTCATGATTTAACAGCGTGTTGTGAGTTGAGGGTCTCAGCCGAGTCACCAGTGACTGTGCAACACGGGAGGTTGCACTGCTCTGCAAGAGTTCCAAATAGATTATCAGCCTCATTGCCAAGACCTCTGCATGTAGCACGAAAGGGAAAAGAGCTGTGGGAATATACTTTGTTTTCCGAATAGAAAATTAGCGATAAAAATGGATGCCACGTGAAGATGTAAAGGGAATGCCAGCGAAATAGCAAAGACACTAAGCGTGGTGTAAACTCAAGTCATGTGGTAACTGTAGTTGGTTGATTGCCAGATCACAAGCCGTGGTCTGTGCAAAGGGGTACTCCCTGCAATCATAACCAATCGGAATGTAAACCTCACTCGTGTATAAATACTGTAACGACGCGAACTCGCTCCGTGGCAGTGATTACCAAATTTGGGCGATTACTATAGCATTACACTGACAACAATAATCTCGCATAATTATAATGCCCGTAATATATTTTTTTCGCAAATGATTGGAACATGGAGTTGTTGGCGCAGTTCATGAAATAACCTTTGGCTTCTGGCGCTGAGCGCTTAGGTGTCATTGGAACGCCGCGACGGCGAAGGAACCTCAAACGCAGTCAGTCCCCACGTGTTCTCCATTTAGAGTACATTAACCCCCACGACGAAACTCTACGCCACGGACCGAGGGACCCTGGGATCTGTGCCAAATGTTTTAAAGACAAGAGTTATCGACCAATGCGATGTTTTTTTTAAACATCACGAACCGCGCGGGTCGTGTGCGGCTGCGTGAACGAGCGAGTGCGAGCACGTGATTCGGGAAAAATCAACAACCACCAAGCGAAACAAAAAAGATAAAATCCTCACGACAGCACAGCGTGGGTGGGCACCGGGTAATCGTTGCAACACTTTTTACATTGCCACATCGGACTTCACCTGAGGCAATAGCATTACCTTATCAGTGTCCTCGCCATGCTACAAAGTCCCCACCTACAAGAGAAACACAAAGATTGTGGTGTTGCTGTTTGCCCGTGTTGAAACGGCTATACGCCCGTACGGACCTGCACCCGTACGAGTTGACGCCGCACGTCAACAGCAGTCAGGGCGGGGGGGTAGAGGTTGCGCAATGTGCACGGCCATTGCGCAACGTTGTAGGCCGGCCACGTCGAGAGCGGCCACAGCGGCTTCTGGGCGTTTCTGCCGAGTTCGCCGTCTTCGCCGCTTGTTGGCACCACCTCCGCCCGCGTGTGCGACACAAGAACTCGCAGGTCGCCCTGCGGCGGCTTCCCGTAACTTCACTCGCGCCATCGACAGCGAGCGGCGCGATGGCGGGGAAGGTGCTGAGGGAAGGCGAGTACCGCGCAGTGTCACACGTACTCTCTCGCGTACTCTCTCACACTCACTCTCACACGTACTCTCTCACACTCTCTCTCACGTACGTGTGACGGTGTGAGAGGGAGCGAGGACTCTGCTATACGGCGCAGTGTTTAGAGTTCCATCAATGTGCGGGGTGTCGCTACTCTCTCGGTTGCGTCACGTCCCGGCTGGCGCGACTGGTTCCTGTTCGCCATTCATTGTAGCTCCTCCACCTCCCCCTTCGTTGATCCACTGCTGGATGAAGGCCCCAATTGCATACCGTGTCAACCCATACTGTTTGGCCCGTATTGTTGTACAGGGAAATTGAGTTTTCAGGCCCATACAGCGTACAGCCGTTTCAACAATACGGGCAAAACATTAGTTTTTGTCTTATTTGTTTGTGTTTCTCCCTCGTGATGGGACTTGGTAGGATGAACGTTGAGATTTATACGGGGCACGGGGTGACCAATAAGGTGTGGATTGGTCAGTAATAAGGTTGGCACTGATAGGGGGTTGACAGGTGATGCTGTTGCTCCACTGCTGGATGAAGGCCTCCCCACTCATGCCGTGCAAGCCGCGCGGATTCGACTTCACCACTGTCTGCACATGAAACTAGACCCTGCCTCTCATCATCGTCACCACCATCAGTCCACTGCTGGATGAAGGCCGCCTTCTCCCCCGTCCAACTATAACTGCAATCAATACCAACGCCCGCCATCCGCCACTAAGTGACGATGACGTCCGCACGGCGCCTGTGCCAGGCTAGGTGCACTTTGAGGCTGCCACGTGAATTGTCGAAGGCTCGCTGCTGGCAGGAGGTGACGGGGCGGACCCTGTCGGTGCCACGGCTTGGCAGACTGAGATGACCGGTAGATGCACTACCAGCTGTGCCCCCTACTGTTCCAACTTGCTGTGCTTTAACGACCCGGTGCTCCGCTCGTTGTTGTGAGCGCCGCTCCTATGCCCTTCGTTGCTGAAGGGTGATTTCCTCCAACTGCCCAGTGACAGCCACGTCCTTCACGAGTCTCTCACCCGGTCTCTGCTGCAATGCAGTCACCCGTCTTAACCTGTTCGGTAACATGGCTATGGGCCGATTTAATCGATTTTTGTTTTCCACGGATAAGAGAGAGTAGTTGATTTGGCAAATTCATCCTATTATCCACGGATAAGAGGAGTAAAATTGCGGATAGTCCCACAGATTATAGGATCCGCGGTAAATACTTCTCCAGTTAGCATAACATTAAATACATTGTTTAATTGTAACATCGGTGGTGAGTGAGATCAGAACCTGCCCTGCTCACCTCCCCCTTCACGAATCGACACTAACCTGCAATGGTGAAGTATGGTCAAACTACGCTTAAAGGGTGACACTGCATGGGGGAGGCCTTCATCCAACAGTTGATGAACAAAGTGACTGCCAACTCTGTACAGCAATAGGGCATCTGTCGCCAGTGAGTCGGTGGTATGCAGAATGTTTTGGCATCACTCAGTTCAGAGCAAACACTGTTGTGGTTGCATTGTACTGTAATTATTGCTTCGTGTTTTCTATCATAAGTATAAACGAGCATGAATTTTATTTTTTGTCCTGCATATTTTTATACGTGTATTGCGCAAAGCCAATACACGTAAAATTTAGTTTTTTTAATAATCCCGAATGCTCATGGAGCCAGACTCGGGCATGATTGGCTTTATGAGAGTGCATTGTGAATGAATTGATGCTCATAGAGCCAGACCAAGACACGTTTGGGATACTTCAGGATCATTGTTAATGAGTGAGGCTCATAGAGCTAGATCAAGACTTCTTTGGGATTCGGTGTTAATGCGGAGTCAATTTTAAAGGTCTACAATTCTGCAGATAAGCACCTAGCTAGCTATATGCATAATGCAGTGGCTCGGAGACCCATCAGAGGTGCTCGTTGAAGGCCCCATGATCCATTGGGTTCCTTGATCCGCATCTCCGATTAGCGTGGTTGATTACGTACAGTGCGTAAGAAGTTCAACACGCACATGTCACTGTGCTCTCCTACACCTCGACCTCTGCAGGCGACCCAGCGCCAGCACCGGTGGCGCCCGGAAATCTGCGCCTCTACAGCATGCGCTTCTGCCCCTTTGCCCAAAGGCCCCGTCTTGTCTTGGCAGCCAAGGGCATCGAGTGGGTACACACATGTCATCACTGGCAGCCTTGGGAGGCCAACATCCCATCTAACAGCAATCGTAGTATCACTGCCGATATCCCAGTACAGGCATACCTCCAATAGCATTCAGGATGCGTTCTTGGTCAACGGAGCGCTGTACGAAACGGCGCTATAGGAGGTCACTATAACATGGTTCCAATGGAGATGTGTTCTCGACCGGGATTTAATTTTTTACCTCTTGAGGGCTTCATTGGGGTATCGGTAATGGCCTTAATAATTATACTGTATGAAAGCATTTTATCAATAAAAATTATAACTTTTAATGGTAATAACATAAAAATAATACAATAAGTTACATACTCACAAGTGCATTCGGTCGAGCTTGCGTAAGAATAACCACAATCTGCCGGAAACACACGTCGCCCCAGGAAACTATGCAGTACTAAACAATGGGATTACTCGATCCATAGATTAATTAATTATCAATGAATCGATGCAGTGATTAACCCTCAATTGATACTCAAAGGTGGCTGTTGGATCGACTGAGCAGAATCAATACAATAGAAATCTCAATTAGAGTTCCACAAGACCATGTACGGGCAAAGAGACACCTCTATGGGCAATGCCATGCCTACTTTCTTCCACATATGGGCTGATCGGCGCAGCAATTTTTTTCCAGGACAAAGAGCATTATAAGGAAACAGCATTACAGGAGGCAGCGCTAGTACTGAATAATTGATCACCTTTCCACCTCCATCCAAATCATTGCTTATCTTCTTGTGCCCTGGTTGCTGCTTCCAAAGATAAACACTCCTCATTCGCTTGGGTGTTGTGGTAGTTGATAGCCTGTGCACTATTGCCATCCCTCTTCAATCTCCTCAGCTCGTGTTTTCATTATATTTTGGTATTTTCATAATTTGTATTTATCACGTAGGTTTTTGCAGTCGATATGATTCATTATTGATTTTTGGCTTAGGTCCAGAAATGATATTGCCAAATTTTTGTTGTGAAATCCCTGACCACCCGAGATAGCCAAACAAATTAAGTTGTCGCATGTACAAGGCTTAAATGCGCTAATTATTTTAGTTTCACTTTACCGGTAATTTGAGGATCAATTCTTAAGTGAATTTAGCAGTTAGATACGACGGGTTACTTGAAACTGCATCAAGCAGCCTCAGATGATGAAACCAGGAATAAGAATAATTGTATTGTTTTTATTTTTGTATTACGTTTTACGTCTATATTGTTGTCTTCTGCAACATTTTGACATACTCTTATGTTTAGTCGACAACTAACTTTCGCTGCACATTGTTACGTGGCTTGGTGGGCAGATACGAGACGGTGAACATCCACCTGAAGGCGAAGCCGGCATGGTTCCTGGAGCGCTGTCCAGGGGGGCTGGTGCCAGTGCTGGAGAACGACAGCGGCGAGCTGGTGCCAGAGTCCCTGGTGGTGTCCGACCTCCTAGATCAGCTGTACCCTGAGCCGCCCCTCTACCCACGGGGCCAGCCCTACACGCAAGCCAAGCAGCGCCTGCTCATCGAGGGATTTGGCAAGGTGTGTATGGAAGAGCAACATCGCAAGAGCTGGTATATTCGGTTATTTAAGTAATCGAATACTGTGGCGCCTCCCATTTACCGTGTCCATCCTAGAATCAATGCTGGATGTAATATCCCCCAGAATGAATAACTTACAGTTGCGGAAACCAGCTTTAGTCAAATCTTTCCATGTCAATCAACTAGAGCCAGGCAATCCGATTGATAAAATAATATCATACATATCGATTCAATGACTCTATTGTCACGGAAAAATAGTTGGAGAAAAAAATATATATCACTTTTGTTCGAATGTATGCTGCTAGACTGGAGGTGATTAGTTATGGTCAAATGCACAATTAATTATAGGCATGAGTCATTAAAATAAAGAAACAACTTGCATCCTTGATTAAATCCACTGCTGGATGTAGGCTTCCGCACCAGTCATAGGGGTAGTATCCCTGTGCTGGTTAGTAGGGGTTTCATGCGATCGATGCCCGGTCACAGAGTTCACAGTGCAATGCATGCACAACTGCGCACCGCCTATCCACCCCCATTCGCTACTGCCCAGAGTGAATTGCATCACAAGACTTCGGTCCTAAGATGTCAATGACCATTTGTTAGTTCACCAACACATTATTACTTCCACTGCAATTAGTTTTTTTTATTTTTCAAGAATTATAGTTCACAGTAACAACGTTTGTTAAAAGTACAGGAGACCCTTGAATATCACGGGCTTATCTTTCGCGTTTTAGACCTATCGCGAGCAACCTCTTTGTCTACCAATTTAGCGTTCACATGGGTTAGTTTTGGCGTTTCATGGGTAGACTGTACCCAGAAGTGCTGTATTATTGGCTGGAATCGTGGTGTGGGGCGCGCGAGGGACACGAGGCAGTTAGTGGCACCTCAACCTTTGCCCTGCAAGCATCTTGCAGACAAAGTCAAAGACCCCCCATATAGCCTTAACATACTGTTGGGGCAACTGCTATGAGCCAGCACCTATGACACAGAGGGGCTAGTGGCCAGCACCACGACCGGCCGCCTTTATCTCCAAATAGCGATGTTTACACATTGCACCAGATCCTCATTTGAGGCTGAGTCGATCTAGGGGAGGCCCAGGACCGATTCAGACAATCGTCACTAGGGTTGGGCGTGAGCAGGAATCGAACTTGGGTCGCCGGGTTCATAGCGCAACGAGCTAACCGTAACACTACCGCTCCCCACTTGCGGATAAACACAGACCCGCTTTGGGTCATCATCATGAATGCTAAGTACAGGATTTATTCAGTATTTATACTACTATTTATTCTCTAGGAATGTTTTTGGTATCGGGTTTTTACATGTTTATTTCAATTATTCAGTTTACTTACCTAACCCCATCATTTAGGTGAGGTTTAAGTATTGAATATCCTGGTTTTGGCCTTTGCGCCACTTTACAAGAACGTAACCCCCGTGATATTCACAGGTCTCCTTTAGCCAATTTATGTTTTTTTCTCATGAAAGAACTTTCAAACTCGTGTGGACATTCTCGGATAGTGTAGCTACAAACGCTGTTTGGATCGACACACGTGCAGGTTAGTGGTGATCCAATGTGGTTCTTTATAACTGCATTATGCCACTCCTAGGTTGACTCTTGTCTAAAATTATTAATCGACTGGTGTATAAACACAGGTGCAGGCGAGACAAAGTAGGCCAACCTCCGTTCGTTGGTACCGGTCGACCGACCGTTTGTTTGCCATGTGGTCCAAGGGTGTGACTATAAATGGATGGGGACACGTGTTTTTTGCCCCAGTGCGTGTTGTGTATTTTATCATTCTGCCACACTGCCCACTTACGGTCAGATGCTTCGCTTGGAGATGGCTTGTGCTCATTTAATCACAATTTTGGACGAGGCTGGACTATGTTATATCAGGGGTGGAGCTGCCAGATCCTTTCTGACTCTGCTCAATATAATCTGTTTTGTAGCAGTTTACTGGATTGCTGCTCCAGCGCTCACTGATTCACTCCATTCACTCTAATTATCGTACATTCACTTCCTTCTTTGTCACTCTTTTATTGCTAGTACCATGGTCAATGTTCTTATGAACTTCCCTCCTTGATACTTCTGTAGTGAGTCCAACTGAGTCGCAGACGTTGTCTTGGGAGCAACATGTTTTATTCAACTCTTAGCACAACATACTCCAGGCTATTAACACAACACACTCAAGGTTATTAACACAACATACTCCAGGCTATTAACACAACACACTCTCGGGTGCTGACCACCCAACTAACCACGCTACGGCGGAACTAGACACGGTTTCACTATCCCGGTGCGGACCACAAGCTGGGTCCCGGACCGCGTGGCTGGAGGCTTCTTCAAGCTTGATGTGGATCTCATGCCTCTCCAACAGTAAGAACCCCGAGCCCCTCACAGGGCCCCCCCTTATATCGGGTCGGGCTTTGGCTGGCTCCGCCTCTCGCTCCACCCACCTTCTCGATCTCTCTCGCCCTTGCCCGAGGGCTCTCGAGAGTTCTTCCCGGACCACGTGACCACCCATTAGCCCCCTCCACCGGTGGCCCCCCTCCAGTATCATCCGGTCACATGTCCCCAGGTCAGCCAGAGTATCATGCCCCCAACGTAACCCCAGCTGGCTGACGCTCTCTCAATGGGAGCCCGCACTGCACGCTGTGCGTGGCCATCACGCTTAACCAGCGCTCACCCAAGCCCCCACTAGGGCTGGTACTACACCCCGTGTGCGGGGTGTACACCCAACAGTATCCATCCCGCCGTGGCCTCACAAGCCAGGCACCACACAGTGACATTTCCTGTCACTACACTTCAACCATTATCATGGACTCATTCAACCAGGTGGCTGTTTACTCTTATCCATGCTGTATTCAGAAATGTATTTCTCTTGTATCTAGTTTTCTCACGCTGCTAATCTTTGGAACTCTCTCCATATTATCTCTTTTCCAAAGTTCCAATTATCTTTTTCAGTTTTAGCAAGTTGTGGTAGCACACACCTGTATCCAGCACTGGAGGCGATTGTTGATTCTTGACATAAATGTTGTTAAATTTTCTAGTTGCCCCCTCACATGCGTACGTTTTTCTGGGTGCTCTGGTTTCCTCATACATTTATACACACTCATTCATTGACTGAAAACATCTTAATATATAAAGGACTGCAGAGTTTGGGCAATTGGTAACACTGGCCTGAAGCGTGGCTCCCTTTCCCGCTTGTTTGCCGTTCCTTATTCCTCGGAGTCATTCTTTCACTTCAAGAGGGAGTAAATACTGTGCAGCATGTTACAAGTCGACATTATTAATATTAACGGAATGTTTTTTATTATCTGCTATACTATCATTTGTGCTTTCACTTATGCTTTATAACTTCTTGCCACCATCTTTTTTTCCCAAGTTTGTTTAAGCTCACTCAGTTTGAAGAAATGTGTTAGTTCTTATATGCTATTCCCTCATCGTTGCTGTTAGTTGCCAGCCACTTTGGAATATAGGCATTTGGGCATGTGCTTCGCAACTGCACATCAAAGTATAATAATCATAAACCTACATGGAGAACAACTACAGCAGCCTGAGGTGGGATATTTTAACATGTAGGCTTTCGCGACAAATATCATCCATAATAGAGGTTTTTTTTTGGGTTGGATCGCGTAAATATGTGTCGTTAAAACCCGCCACCACCCGACACAGCCAACTAGTAAGGGTTGTCATGTAAACAGAACATGCCAATTCGTCACTAGTACAGCACACCGGTGTGTTAGAGAGCCAAGCCACAACATTTACAATCTGAGTACGACGAGAATCTATCGAAATTGAAAAAAAAAAAATATTAACCGTTCGGATAGCTATCGACTAAGTGCTGCGTGGAAGCGAATCATCAAATAATACATTGTTTAAATGCATGCCTATACAGACCACCATACTTCAATAGGGATTACCGTTGATATGGCTATTTTAATACACAATGGACAGGAAGGACAAGATAAATGGGCTCGCATAATGCGTGTGCATAATGTACGTTGACTCATTAATCCCCCCCCCCACTTTGCGCAAGAACGCAGAAGTGTGGTCACTACATCTATGCCTTTATATAAAGAACGAAATAGGTGGACTTCTCCACAAATCTGTCTGTCGCCTGATGAAGCTAGTTGTAATTACTGGTGAAACATCATACTCAATTGTTAAATGTTGTGGCTTGGCTCCCCAACACACCGGCGTGCTGTACTAGTGACGAATTGGCTACATTATGTTCTTTTGTTTGTATTATGACTGCAGGTATTGCGGTCTATGCAAACATGACTCCTTTTAAAAAGGTGTCAGTTTTGTTGCCAGATAGGAGGGTAAAAAAACAATTATCATATTTTTACTGGCAAATGAGGTTCCCATAGTTATGTTTACGTGACAACCCTTACAGTTGGCTGTGTCGGGTGGTGGCTAGTTTAACGACACATTTATATATTTACGCGATCTAACCCAAAAAAAGCTATTATGGATGAGGTGGGATTATTTATCTCACTTATTGACGCTGCTCTTCTCATTGGCTGCTATTTGTTTGGGCCTCCGACCTCCTACCAGATGGTGCGTTACATGCTGTAAGCCTGCACCCCTGGCTGTGTGTGTGTGCGTGGGCTTCACTCTCTGAGACTTGTCTCCCAGAGAGAGAGAGAGACAGCCGCCTGAATTGTCAGCTCTGACAGCGTGTTTGGAGCAATGAGTCACACAGACATTCACATATACATACACCTACACACTCGTGTGCATACACGTACACTAAATACCTACAATGCCTAGTATACCATCGGAACCACAAGCCTTTGAAGTGTTCAGTTTGGATAGTATCTGACCTACGTCGTGCACTAAATCTTTGATGTTTCATCCCACTTGGAAGGAATTACTGTAGGTGGATTTTAACTTTTGTCATCCAGAGTCGAATTTATAATTGTGTAATGTGTAACCAACACGGAGGCGCACACGCTATAAGTTGGAGGCAACACGTTTAATAAACAACTATGAACACTTGAGTCTGCTAGCTAGGTGTGGCTATCTATCGCTATGTGCGTATGAGTTAAACTAAACAAACGGTTCAGCAGCACACATGCTGCTTGACCCACGAATCCCAGTCCAGACTGCACGACGAACGAGGAGCGACGAGTGAGGAGTGAAGAACGAAGAGCTTCCAGTTGATCACCACAATACGAGGCCCGAATCCCCTCGGCGCTCCCCCTTTATTTCTTGGCCGCGGCCTCGCTCCGCCCTCGGCCATGCCCCTTGCTGTATCAAGGCCGGAGCTCCCCGCTCCCGGTCATGTATCCCTCAAACCTCCAATGGAGGCTCCCAGCGCTCAGCAGCACTCCAGAAACCATGGCTGGCGCAACAATGTAGTAACCTCTATTTGTGTTAAATTTCGATTTAAAGCTTTCGTGACTGCAGGGATTCATCTTCTTGGTTCTTTCGGTAAAGTCACGTAGAAGGGAAATAATAAAAATAAAACATAATAAAATAAAATTCTCACGACGTTTCGGCCACAACGCAAGCAGCCATCCTCAGGTGAAGAACAAGGCTGTCGGAAAGACAGCGTCCGAATCATTCGGACACTGTCTTTGTTATTTTATTATTTCCCTTCTACGTGACTTTACCGAAAGAACCAAGAAGAAGGCTTTATTTGTGTATCTACAGTTGCATAAAAATAAACAAATGCAATACACTTAGGATGTATCTTCCATGTACAGAAAACCGCATCTCACGATGCGGTAAAGTGAATCACTGAAAACACAAATAGCTTTTCCCAAATATATGCAGTTTACACCTGTCCATGTCTCTCACACATTGGAAACACTGTTAATGAGCCCTCGCCCCGTTAAATATTAGGCACACATTCATTTGTTGACAAGGCAATCATTGGTGCCATCTTGTTAATGAGCCCCGCTGTGCGTGCTGCTAGACGGTGAGCCTCTTCTACAAGATTTTTAGCGCCTCGCTGAAGGAGGAGAGTGCCGTCGAGGCGGAGGGGGAGTTCCAGAAGTCGCTGGCGCCATACGAGAAGCATCTACAGGCCTCGGGCAAGACGTTCCTGGGTGGTGCCCGGCCCAGCATGGCCGACTACATGGTGTGGCCGTGGATGGAACGGCTGCCCGCCGTGGGCGCACTGCGGTGAGTGCAGCTGACCGCAGAGATGTAAGAAGAGGACGTCACATTATCACGGTCGTGGACATTATATTCCGTCATGGTGATTTGGCATTTTTCCCGTGGGAATACATGTGGGGTACGGTTTTTAATTGATTCACCCAGTGCAGGCTTCTCCTGAAAAGCAGTCTTGAGTATCAGGTATGCTTTTCTGGCAATCGGATGAAGGCTTCCCCATGCCGTATTCGTAAAAGTGGTTTTAATATATTTCACCATGCTGGGCAGTGGCGGGTTGGTGAAGCACATGGCTATAACCGGTTCAGATATCAATCACCAATGAGGTTAACCGTAGCCGATTTGTTTAATAGTTTTTTATTCCGCATATTTATGCTGACATTTGTGTAATAAGAGCCTATGTCCGGCTCACGTGGTGATCGGCTCTGCCGGTCCTGCTTTACAGCCAATGGGGGGAGAGCCTGGGAGCATGGCCCTGGCGTGATCGAGGGGTGCCAGCTAGGGTGATTGGTTCTGCTGGTTTTGGCCTCAGCCAATGGGAAGACAAGTCAGGGGCGTGGTCCCGGGAGTTGATGGGGAATCTAGAAGATTCGGCGCAGGCTACCAAGGATTGGCTGCAGCGTACCACGTGACCCAGGCATTAAATAAGGGGAGAGATGAACGACACGTGGTCAGACGAAGAACAAAGGAAGAGAGGGGCCACGCGCGAGCGGGGCTCCGAGTGCCACGTGGCGGTGCGTCTCTTGTGGTCTGTCTGCCCACTTCCCGTTGCCTGCCAGCAGCGGGGAGTACTTGTGAACTGGAATAAATAAAAGGACCGATTCCACAAGTCGTCTCCAAGAGTATTATTAAATTTGCATTGTCATGTGTTATTATGCAATAAAGCAGCCTTGAAATGTGGTTCAAATGTGGAGCATGATATAAGAATAATTGTTTCATCCTTTTTTTTTACCTATTATTACTTTCAATCTTAACGTTGGATATCGCCCGTCCTGTTCTGTCTGTGCCTGCAGGGTGCTTGATGCGCTGCCTCATCTCAAGGCCTGGTGGGAGGCCATGATGAAGGATGCGGCTGTGATAGCGACATTCATGGACATGGACACCTACAAGGAGTTTGGAAAGCGCTACGCAGCCAATGACATGGAGTCGTACGACATAGGGCTGTAGGGCGTGTGCTTCTGGAGGCCCTGCCGACCCAACCGCCAGCATCTCGACCCCATTGTGGGCAGATTGGTCTCCATGTCTTCGTTACAGGATGATGATGATTGACAATTCTGGGTGAAATTGCATTGATTGGAATGGAGATAGAGAAATTAAAATGGTCGCTTGTTAAAACGCACTTCCTTTATATTTTTTGCCGTACAAGTAAATTGTATTTTTAAATTGCGCACTCGTGGGTTATGCTTGAGGTTTACTTTCAGTTTGGGTGTGCGGTGGGGTGGTGGCTGAACCTCCATTGCAAATTAATGGGAAACGTTAATGGCCACGATGAGGTTTGGGGATTGGATATGGTTTGGGCTACTGATTGACGGACGAGATATTGCCAGCATTTTGTGGTTATCAAACGCTACAGTTGCATGCTAAGTGTGTGGGAACATGAGTGTGTGTGGCTCTCGGCTCCCACACCCCCACCTCCACAAACCCACCCAAACTTCTCAGGGGCAAGATCAAACTCGGCAGCGCTCGACACTGATTCAGCAGCTTTTTGAGTCCATAGCCATGGGCCAGCAGGAGCCGTGTTGCGTGAGCAATTAAGCCCCTTAACTCTGGCACGGGCGATGGTTCTCTTGTTGTAACAAACGCGCGATTGTGTGTATTGCGTGCCAAACCTCGGGAGAGGCCCACATCGTTTTAAAGCTTCCCCCTGCTGCGATTCGTGTAATTGTGATGGAAATAAGCACGGTGTTTTGGAGTGTTGTATTTCTGTAATTCGCTCAATAGCATTCTTTATCACTGCCCTGGCTTGGCTCGGCCTGGCCTTGCTTGCATGCTTGATATAAACGACTGGAGGCGCGAGTGACGCCGCCGTGGTCGCAATGGGAAGGGTCCCTCCTTTCCTTATGCCCGCCACACAAGGGTCCTGGCACCAGCGCCCTAAATGCCGGCGATGAGGGGGTCTTGCGTGCCGACACTCGGATCAACCCAACATTTTATGCATGGCAGCAAATCTCCACGTGCTAGGTCAATTTGCACATTTTTTACTGGGGCAAGTTGACAGCGGTGAAAAGTGCGACGATGGCACCGCCTATGTGGATCCCATTGCGAAACTAACCGTGGAGCCCCCCTTTGTTGTCCATATGGAAGCCCCTCCACCACTGCCAGGTATCGATCGAGACGACTGTTCTGCCATGCACACCGTCCTATTAATGGATGCCAATGAGGTTTAGCCAAAGTGAAGAGCGTGAAGCCGAACCCCGTGGGCTCCGATGCCTGCCATGTAGGGAACGTGGCTTCCCCCCGGCGCTTTCACTGGTGGAGGCGGCGGCGGCCAGGGTTCCCAGCCCCCACGTCCGTCAATCAGAACCTTTCGCTCGCTCCTGAACTGGAGCCATGAGCGCCTGGTGTGCGCTGGATGATGCTGGCCAAGGGCCCAACATTTTGGCTGTAATTTTCTCCATCGCTGACGTGACAACCTCCAGGGTGGTGTGTGACCTGTGGGCTCATCCTGGCAGGATATTGAAACCCCATGTTGCCCCTCCCCGCACTTTCCCTCCATTCACTATATTTGCACTTAAACTAGAAATGAACCATGGCCAAAACCGATAAGGTTGCAGATTACAATGGAGAGGAGATGTAATCAGTTGTGTTGCTTAATATGCTCCACCTCAAGAGACTAGCCATAACACCTACCCTTTAGCCAACCCGTCACTAGTACGAGCCTTCCCACGGACCATAACCCAAGCAAACTGACCGTTGTAGTGAAGTCTGGTTGAAAAACCCACGTGATCAACACGGCGTGGAGAGCACTTCATCCAGGGCTATTGATTATTTTTAATTCCACTCATCAATTTATGTACGCCACTGTGACCACAGGGGTAACGGAAACTGATGGTGCTCTTTCCTAAGTGTGGCCGTTGTCAATCGCCAACCAATTTGACATCACATTTTCGGTCTCGCGACCGTTATCTGACTCCATTGCCTTCCACATATTCTCTCTCTGCTCCAGTAACTCGTCAAACTCCATTGAGTGAGAGGTTAACTCTTTCTCTGTAGCTGCCCCCTGCGGTATCTCATGCCCTCCCTCAGCCATTTGCATTGAAGAGACCCTTCTCTGGTTCAAAACCAGACTTGAGACATTTCACTGCTCCTTTTGCCGATGACCGAGTGCCTCGCTTTATGAAGGGCCTTTATTAGCCCCTTTACCCTCTCTGCCCTCCAGCTCCTTACTGCCTCCAATGACTCATAAAAAAATACATCTTCCAAGCCCCAAGCTGCCAGATTTAGAAGCTTTATACATCCAGTGTCTAGGTCTGAATGGGTGTGGGGAGCGGTGGTGTAACAGCATATTGCCCTACGGACCCGGTCACCCAAGTTCGATTCCTGCTCAAGGATCAGTCCCAGGCCACCCCAAAATCGACTCGGCCTCAACCGAGTACATGGTGCAGTGTGTAAACATCGCCACTGGGTGTGGTGCTGGCCACCTACCCTCTGTGTGCCGCGTCAACCTTTGTAGGTGCTCGCTTACAGCACTTGCCCAACAATCTGTTAAGGCGGGATCTTTTTCTGTTTTGTGTGGTTGTGTATGTGTGGGTTGTAGGTATGTGAGTGTGTGTGGGGAGTGGTAGCACAGTTGTTCATGCCCCATGATCCCACCCACTGATATAACCGTGTCGGGATCGTGCCCTAACCCTGGTACCACACGGGCCTTAAATGACCACCGAGTGCAGTGTGTAAACATCGACATCAGCGAGACAAAGGTGGCTGGGCACGGTGTTGGTCACACCACCAGATGCGCGGTGCAGGCCTTAATAGGTGCTCGCAAACAGCGCCTGTCTCTACAGTCTGTAGGAATACACAAGGGACGTGTGTGTGATATACCCGTGTATATAATTGTGTTGTGGGCAGTACAGAAAACCCCATGGTCCTGTATTTCTATGCTCCCACACCTCTGCGCCCCATTCTTCACCAAGCGGGGTTCCTCCAGCCATCAGTGCGGTGACAAAAAGGATGCAACACTTAGTTGTACGTTTACACAGGACTGAGGCGTCGTGATGAGCGCACACTGTACGCTATTGTAACTTACATCTCGTCAAAAATCCTGCTTCGGTCACAACGAGACGGGGGACATTCGTGCAAGGGTCTACGCGACAGTTAAAAAAAACTTCACACATGACCTCGAATTTCGCATTTACTAGCTCGAGACGTGACGGCAAAGTGCTCTCTTATTGCTGCGGTTAGACTGTTGCCGTGGTTACGTGGGTAGTTGTGGATGTGAGGCGGCCTGTTGCACAATCACTGGTTATGATCCGATTTGTTTGCGGGTTGTATCTCGGTGTTGTTCGGCAGGATGCCCGATCTTTCACTCCAGGTGCTGGGGAGCTTCATGTCCAATCAACTCGCCGTACGACCTTTAAACCCATCAGAACTAGTTGCACTGTTACGTGGTGAGTGGCGGTACCTGCGGGCACACACAGGTTGTACGAACACACTCGTCACACTTGCCGTGATTACCTCGCTAGTGTCTCTAATGCGGTAGCTGCATTTTTACACAGCGGTTGCATTAACAGCTGCAATGCTTACACAGTTGCCACGGTTACTTGATCGCCATAGTTTTACATAGTTGCCAAAGTTATACGGTTGCAATTAGGGACATCAGCTTAGTGGTCCAGAGTTCCAACATTTTCCACGACGAGTCACGTGGACATCGTGAGCCTTTGCCCCATATGCGGTCGGTGTGAGAGGCGGACAGGATGGTGGGATTTAACACGTAGTCGGCCTTTTGCAATCAATATTCATAATAAAGGGGGTTTTGTGGGTTAGATTGCGTAAATATAAATGTATCCTTAACCCACCACCACCCGACACAGCCAATTAGTAAGGTTTGATGTAAACAAAACGTGCCAATTAGTTACTAGCTTAGCACAACATTGCTAATATTTTGAGTACTGTGACGTTGCACTGGTGATTACATCTGTTGCACACTCGAAATGAAGGTCGTGGGCAGGTGCTCCAAATCGAGGGCAAACACATTTATTGTGGTTAATCTGTAAAATGCAACAGCACGTGTCACACAGTAATCCTCAACCGAGTCGCCATTAACCGTGTAGCTGGTGTCCAAGTGCGGTTAATCAATAACCCTGCCAGCCCCCTACAGGCCCAACTCCGTTATCGCATGCTGGTGTACACGTGCATTGATGTATTGCACAGCACATAATGACTTTCACAAAACCACACTTTACTCCCTTGCTGCACAAGGAAATCATTAAAATAGTGGTCCATTCCTAATGTGCCACACATCCAGGCTTCATTGGGCGATTTTTGCCAGAATTGTGAAGAGATCGACCCGCTTCCGGTCTTAATCATAGAGCGATGTGACGTCATTGCCCTGAGCCAATCAGGTGGTGGGAGCTGGACGGGGCGGGGCTGGGCGCTCCTTGCCCCCATTGCCACGGGACCGAACGCACGTGCCTTGTGTCTCATCTTCCCCACCCGCGGTTCCACTCCACGATTTCCAAAAGCTCCAAAGCCCTCTCACTTCCACCCAACCACAACGCGCGTATCGCTACGTAAATTTTGGGTATTTTAGCAGTCTTCGATCAAACACATTTTTGTAATCTATGCGCCTTGCACGCGTCCTAATTATTGGTTAACATGTAATACGGCTTGAGACGCTCGGTCCTTTAGTTCGTCCTATATCACTGACACAACTGACACGCCGAGACAGCCCAATACCTCCACTTGTCACAGATTTGAAGCAGACGCTCCATCCTTCTCCACTCATTGGTTCGAGCTCTTCAGTGGTCGTCCCATGTTAATTTAATTTACTGCTGTGCTCTCTGCCATGTGGGGTCATGTGGGAAACACAAATAAAAACATCCCCCATATATAGTCTTCAGCAGACTGTTGAGGAAAGTGCTGTTAGCGAGCACCTATAAAAGACGGCAATGGCACACGATGGAGTGTGTGGCCAACACCATGTGGGACACACAGTTTCAGTGTGCATACCCTACATCACAATGGGACATGTACACATAATTTTAACTGGTACTCTGTGTCTGGGCGTACCATTTGTACACACACATGCATGCGAGTTCATTCGGCAGCGTGCGTCGCATCGGACGTAAATTCAAATTATCACGCGCGTGTAGACTCAATTTGTATTTTAATGGAGAAAGCTTATGAATTATGAATTGCGAAAGAACAATGGTGGAGCTTGATGGCTGGAGTTGTGGAAACGCAGTCATGGAGATGGGTATATTTGGGACTAGCACCCGGGCCTTCTCTACTGCCTCTCACCATCGCCCACTTCCCACCTCCTCAATCGCCAAAACCTGGTCTCCCCTTCAAGAGTAAACTCCTCGTCTTGATTTAATTCTGCGTTCATTTATGAACGGAGGTTTTCTCACTAAGTATCTAGTTAAAAACTGATGTGACCATGTCTCCAAACTCAAAACAGGAAATCGCATAATTGGGGTGAGTGTATCAGGTGAATACACGCACGCATTTCCACTAGATATAAAAACATGCACGGGAATTATGACAAGATGGATGTTGCGAAGACTGGAACCCGTGTGACTGAATGCACCCAATATCTGCGGATCTCAGAAGCTAAGCAAGGGTCGAGCCTTGTCAGAAAACGAGGTGAGGACTGCCTGGGAATATCATGGCTTGTAGATGTGGGGTTGCAACGTGGCCGGGAGATGGCAATACAACAAGGGATTTAATGTATGCGGAGTTAAAAGTATATTTGCCCTAATATACGTGGTGGGGTTTCTCCAGATACTCCAGACTCCTCCCACACCAAGCAAGATATCTCAAGAACTGTTCCTACTTGTTTTGAGACCGAGGCTTTCCTGGGTAAATAAAGGACACGATTATATCTCTAATCTATAATTAAGTGGCTCTATTGGTTTGGCTTGCTAGGGCTGGAGGAACGGATGGAACTTATGGGGAGGGCTCGCCACGGGCCTATGAGGACGAGCAGCTGGCCTTGGCTCATGTGGAGCCGGTGGTAGCGGTGGCACCGCCAGTGGCCTGCACGGCCTCTACGTCTTCGGTGGAGCTGACGCACACGAAGCGGCCGGTGCCCCCGTGCGTGGCCACCACGGCGGCGAGCGCGTGGCCCATGGCGCGGTGGTCCACGTAGCCCGGGCACACGCGCCCCGGCGGCACCACACCCATGTTGATCTTCACCTGCGGGCAGCACCACGGCCACACGGGTGAGAGGACGGCCGCTGCGACGCCGGACAGGGGTGGTACACCCGACCAAATGCGTGTTTTTATTTGTGAGTGCACTTTGTGGCTGTGTATGTGTCCGTCTGTTCCTCCGGGTCTTAGATGCACCATGTAAATGTCCGTGTGGATCCTTTCCCTCAGATTCTTGGGTACACCATGTAAATATGCACGTGTGTGTTTCAGGGAGGAGTTGAAAGCGCTGCTGCTGAACCTGGAGTGTGCCACTAAGAGGTGGGGTTTTACCATCAGCTCCACCAAAACTAAGCACCTGCCTGGGTATTTTGTGCCACCAAACACTCCACCCTCTCAGCTCCCCATTGGTGATGGAGCAGTTGTGGAGAGAGTGGAGAGTTTACCATACCTGGGCAGTGTGCTTATGACCAGCTCCGGTTTGACAGCAGAGGCCTCACTCCGAATTAGTTGAGCGACATCTTTTCATCGGCTGCGCAATGCTGTGTGGAAGCTACCTGGTCTGTCACTCCGCACGAAGCTTCGAGTCTTCTTGGCCACAGTCATGCCCTCCCTTCTCTATGCATGTGAGCCGTGGACCCCTCTAATGGAACATCTGCGCCAGTTAGAAATATTCAGGCTAACATGCCTACAATCCATCCTGGATTTAACCAGGCTGGATTTTGTGACGAGCTCACAGATCGTCGAAAGATATGGACACATTCCCATCAGTGAGCTCTTTCGGCAGGCAAGGCTGCATTGCATGTAGCCCGCATGCCAAGCCACCGCATGTCCAAGCAGCTTCTGTTTGGCCGCATAGAGGGGGCTAACCGGGCACAACATAAGCTGGAGAAGAGATGGACTGATGCGGTACAGAAGGATGTGGAGCTGAGTGGACTTGCCGACGGCTGGTACCAGCAGTGTCAAGATCAGCCTCTACGGAGGAGGCTCGTGAAGGATGCTGCTGGGCAGTTGAAGGCAGTTACCCTCCAGCAACAACGGAGAGCAGAGGAGCGAAACTCACAACAGCAAGGTGGCACAGTGGGGGGTAAAGCTGGTGCATCTGTAGTAGGTTCAACGAGACTTGGACGACGTAGTCGGAGGCACACTTATTTATTAACCGTTCCACTCTATACAGGCCAAGGTATACAACACTCGAAGGGGTATCGGCTCCTTCACCCGTCTAACAGAGAGATCCCACGATTTCTATCCTGGCTAGCCTACTCCCAGGTCATCCCACTACAGAGCTAGGGGAGGCTAGCTGATCCAGCTCTGGCCAAGATGGGATTACGGCACCCTGAGTCCCCAGACTGGCTCTTACAAGAACATCGGCTCTGGGCTCTCGGGGCCACGCCACTGGCTTGCCCTGGTCGGTCCTTAGAAGGACGGCGATCCAGGGGAGTCCCAGGGCCTATCTAGCCGGTCTTCCTTCTTCACTGGTTTAAGCTAAACACTGAACCCCGAGCCCACCGGCTCACCACCTTATATAGCAACTCCCCCCTCGAGGGGTGGGGTGTGGGGGATCACAGCGCCGTTTCAGCCCCCCAGGCTAAACGATGCGGACGTGGATGTAAGCATCCTTCCGCGTGCGGGCATAACCACCCCTGGTGTGTTTGTTCGCCCTCCCGTAACACCTCTACATCACCCCCCCCCCCCTGTACAGCCCGCAGCCGTCTCGGCTGCAACAAAATCCACAATAAAAATGCATCCCCCCTCAATCCCGTGTGCAGCAACAACAACAGCAACAACAACAATCGAGAGAGAGAAAAATAACCCGACACACCACCCCAATAAATACCCCATCCCGTAAAAAAACAACATATGTACAATTTCAAAGTCCCCCCCACCCCTGCGACCCCAGCCAGGCCAGCACGAGCGGCCAACCTCACAAAAGTCTGCGCATTTTGGCGTCACAATGGGCAGCCCCGGCCGGCCCAGCAGTGGGTGTCAATAGTTGGGGTGCGAGAGTGTCTGGCGTCGCCGACGAGCGACCCCCGACCCCCCCGGGAGGGGTTGGCAGTCGCGAGCATGTCAATCCTGGTGCATCTGGAAGCGGAACAGTCAGTGGTAAGTCAGGTGAATGCAGCGAAGTCGGACTCCGGAAATCAGTGGACCCCCCACATGTTTAGCCATGTGTGTGTGGAGTAGGAACATGGGGCGCAACGAATGGTTTCAACCGCGAGGGGTGCACGAACCAACGACGCTTCCCCCACCGGATACGTACACATTGTGGCTGCAAGACCTGCACTACTTCCATGGGCCCCTGCCACGGCCGCAACAGCTTGGACGAGGTCGCCAGCGGAACTTGGGGACAGTGCAACCACACCTTGTCACCCGGTTTCCACTGGAGCACATGCACCCGGCCCAGCTTGAGCCTTTCATTCGCCCTCTGGCGGAGGTCTGAATTTTGGATGGCTGCCTCCCGCGCCTCTGTTACTTTAGCAATGTTGAATTTGACATGGTCGGCCAATTTGGATTTAGCATGCAGCGCGGAGATCCGCAGCTGAGTCGCGACAGGCAGGTTAGCCTCGCGACCGTACATTAGGAAGAAGGGCGAACATCCGGTCGCCGCATGAGGAGCCATTCTGTAGGCCGCCAAAACCCCCGAAATATGAAGGTCCCAGTCGGTCTGGGATTCAGACACCTGTTGGGACAGCATGGACGTGATAGTCCAATGCAGACGCTCCACCATCCCGTCAGTTTGCGGATGATATGGGGAGGTACGGATTTTTTTCGTACCCAGGAGCTCGCACACTTCGTGGAGAAGCTTACTCGAGAAATGTTTTCCCTGGTCGGTCAGTAGCCGCTCCGGAGTACCTTTGTCGAGGACGTAGCCCTGGACAAAGGCCTCCGCGATGGCTGCTGCCGACTGGTTGGTGAGGGGCCAGGCCATAGGCCATCGCGTAAAATATTCCACCCTGGTCAATAGGTATTTATTTCCCCTAGGTGTAGCGGGGAATGGCCCCAAAATATCAAGCATGACGATTTCATTAACCCGGGAAACCTTGATAGACTGCAATGGTGGGTTGGACCCCTTGCTGGTGGCTTCCGTTGCACACACTGAGTACAAGATCCTATAAGATCATCCACGTCCCTTGCCATGCCCAGCCAAGAAAAATCCAGCTGGAGCATGGCAAGGGTTTTGTGAGTCCCCAGGTGCAGGAGTCGCTCGTGAGCAGCCCACACCACTCTACCCCTCAGTGTGGAAGGCACCACCAGCCGGTGGCGGCGGGATCTCCCGTCCCAATGCATCAAGAGACCCTGGAACAACCCCCACGAGTCGACATTTTCCACCCCCCGACCAGATCCACCGATGCGACGGCGCAACGCGAGGAGAGAGGTGTCCTCCATTTGGAGGCGCCCCCACTCCGCAACAGACAATCCCAGCAATCCCTCCCTTCTTGCTCAATAGGACCCGCAATTGAAGGCGCATCAGCGGCGGCCGCAAGGACTGATTCAGAGATCACATTCGGAGGTCTGCAATGCCCCGAACCCAGGAGGCAAGCGCACTCGGAGGTGGGCGGCAAACGTGACAGAGCATCTGCGTTCGTGTGGCGAACACCCTTACGATATGTAGTCTCGAAATCTTGGAGAATCTCCAACCATCAAACCGTCGGTAATACGACGTGAATCCAATGAAACTCCTGACCTCCCCCACCGAGGTGGGAGTCGGCCAGGAACTGACACATTGCGTTTTGGCGGGATCTGTGGCAATACCTGACCGTCCGACAATGTGGCCCAAATACCGCACCGATTCGCAGAGCAAATGACATTTCTGCGGCTTGAATTTCAAATTAGCAGCCTGCATTTTGAGGAAAACAGCCCGCAACCTCTGGAGGTGTTCGTCGAATGTTTTACTAAAGACGATATCGTCTAAGTAAATCAAACAAGAATTCCATTGCAACCCAGCCAGGACCAATTCCATTAATCGCTGGAAAGTCGCCGGCGCTGAGTGGAGCCCCATCGGCAAATGGTTAAATTGGAATAGGCCGTGCGGCATACGGAAAGCTGTTTTAGGTTTAGATTCCTCATCCAGAGGGAGCTGCCAGAACCCTGACAGTAAATCCAATGTGGAGAAGAACCGCGCCCCCGCCAGGGCATCAAGCAATTCATCCATCCGAGGGAGCGGATATGCGTCGGCTACGGAGATCTTGTTTAGCCGACGAAAATCAACACAAAACCGCAAGGAGCCGTCGTGTTTTTTAACTAATACGATGGGTGCACCCCAAGGGCTGGTAGAAGGGGATAGAATATCAGCAGCTAGCATGTCGTCTACAGCCGATTTGACATGATCCTTTTCGGCGGGACTCAACCGAAAAGGATTTTGGCGGATTGGTGCGCTGTCACCCATGTCAATATGGTGTCGCAGCAGTTTAGTACAGCCAATATCATATTTATGTCGACTAAAAACGTCGGAAAAATCGCGCAGAATGGTTCGTAGCTTATCACGCTGCGAGTCGGACAGGTCCGATGATCCCGGGCAAAGCGCATCCAGCCACCCCTCATCACGGTCCGAATGCGGTTGCGATGGAGGAGCGGTGCTCACTTGTCCAATGGACCGGTTCCTCACAGAGTACCAGCGTTGCGTGCGCAAGCACGGTCCCTTGAGGAACCACAGCCGTTCGCAACCCAACATTGAGGACCGCGATGAAGGGGTCCCTGTCCCCTTTCACAATGGTCTGGGCCGCTACCAAATCAGGTTCGTTGACCCCGGCCCTAGACGGTCCCAACAGAACACCCCGATCCCCAATCGAATGGTCGACGCAGCCTAAGAGGCACGAGCATCTGAGCCCCCGGCGGTATGCGTACCGTCCTCGTAGCAAATGCTTGTACCGTCGCAAATGTCGTACTGACAGTAGCGGGGGAGGACAAGAACATCATATGTCGGCCCGACAGGAGTTCGATGCAACCTTGGTCGATCAAGATTCAAATTGGCATTTTGGCCAAGAAGTCTGTCCCCAACAGGCGCGGAACTGCCAGCGAGGAGGAGACCAATACCGGCCCGGATAATTTGATGTCCCCAATACAAATTTGCGCGCGGATCTGTCCGATAATGCCCAGCGAGCCCCCGTTGGCCGCATAGTACGGAACATCAACGGGGAGCAAAGGACGGCTTTGAACGGGGAGAATGTTATAAATTAAATCGGACACAATTGTCGCCGATGCTCCCTTATCAACTGAGACCCGCACCTCAACCCCATCAATATGCCCCACAACGACCGACGACCCCGCCGACGCGGCAACAACGCGATGGGCCAACTCAGACCACTGGCCCGGTTGGAACGCCCTCCCCATCGCGGGACATTTCGACGCAATGACAGCCAATTTCTGATCCACGTTCGTTGCAGTGCGTGAGTATGTCACAGGTGTGTGCGTAGGCCAAACATGTGGGGTGCCACGACTTGCCGGAGTTTGATGTGGAGCCTTGGGTAGAGGCGCGTCGTCCGGCTGAGGCGTCGCACCGCGCTGTCGAGGAGCCTGGCATCCTGAAGCCACATGGCCCCGGAGGCCACAGTTGTAGCACCGCGTGAGCGCCCCAGACGGCGTGGGTTGATCTTGGTGGCTCGGCCCATCCCGAGCTGGCCATCCCCCGGATCTCCACTCCGTCGGGCGACCCACAGCGCAGACCTCTTCCGATGGGAGGGTGGTGGCAGCCACGGTATGTCTGGCCGCCGCCTTGCTGGCCTTGCGACGCTGGGACAGCAAGTTTGCGTGGATGTGCCGTGCGGCCCGCAGGGAACACATCTCCTTGTCATCTTGCGCCAAGACGACGATGTCCAAATCATCCACCAACAGCAATATCTTCTCAGCCACCATAGCGTCCACCCCTTCCTCGTCCATCCGCGGGAAAGCCGTCTTCGCCAGGGCCAGGAGAGCCATGCCGTATGCCAGGGGCGATTCCTTGGCACCCCGCTGACGATCGTAAAACAGCTGTCTGCAGTCAGAAGGTGGACCGTAGACTGCAGACAGGAGTCGAAGCGCCACCTGCAGCGTGGCGCGCGCCGATCTTGGTGCCGTAGTGAGGGTGGCGAGGGCATCACTGTCCAGCGTCCCTGGCAGCGCGCGTAGTGCCTCGTCGTCCGTCCATCGCGACATTTCTTGGTGGGCGAGGAAACGTCTTTGGAAGGCTCCCCAGTCGCCGTCTTCCGCCACAAACTCTTTGAGGACTGGCAATCGCTGCTGGAACGAGGCCTCCGCAGCCGTAGATCGCCAACCGTCGTTCCCGTCAATCTGTTCAGTGTCGGCGGGAACGGCAGACGCCATCAGCAGTCGCACCACTGGTGATGCGCTGGCCGCTGATTGGCGTTCACCGCCGTCGGCCGCTGTTGATGACGTGGCGGTTTCTGGTCGGCGACTGTCGGTCACATGACGTGACCCGGCCCCGCCCTCAGCACCTACTGTACTGATGGCGGCAAATCCAACCTCCAGCCCCGTTGAAATGGCGGGAACTGGCGTCGCGTGTTGTCCGACGTTGCCCCGTGCTGCTCCTCCAACCCCCAGGTGATTGATTTCCTCCAGCGTGGCGGCTGCCACGTAGAGTAGCTCCGCCAGGCAGGAGTGAGCCACCCTCAACCCGTCAGCCGACGGTCCCCAGCCGTCCGGCTGCTGCGGTATCGGCAGACTTGGCCCTGGTTGCTCGAACTCACCCTCGGCGAGTTCAGGCTCTGAGTCGGGCGAGTTGTCCTCCTCCCCAGGTTCCTTGGTACGAGCCGTCCGTCTTGTGTCCATCTTTAGAAGACCACTTCTGACTCCAGTTGTAGTAGGTTCAACGAGACTTGGACGACGTAGTCGGAGGCACACTTATTTATTAACCGTTCCACTCTATACAGGCCAAGGTATACAACACTCGAAGGGGTATCGGCCCCTTCACCCGTCTAACAGGGAGATCCCACGATCTCTATCCTGGCTAGCTTACTCCCAGGTCCTCCACTACAGAGCTAGGGGAGGCTAGCTGATCCAGCTCTGGCCAAGCTGGGATTACGGTACCCTGAGTCCCCAGACCGGCTCTTACTAGAACATCGGCTCTGGGCTCCTGGGGCCACGCCACTGGCTTGCCCTGGTCGGTCCTTAGAAGGACGGCGATCCAGGGGAGTCCCAGGGCCTATCTAGCCGGTCTTCCTTTTTCACTGGTTTAAGCTAAACACCGAACCCCGAGCCCACCGGCTCACCGCCTTATATAGCAACTCCCCCCTCAAGGGGTGGGGCCGTGGGGGATCACAGCGCCGTTTCAGCCCCCCAGGCTAAACGATGCGGACGTGGATGTAAGCATCCTTCCGCGTGCGGGCATAACCACCCCTGGTGTGTTTGTTCGCCCTCCCGTAACACCTCTACACATCTACCGGTCATCTCAGTCAGCCAACCCATGGCACCTGGGTCTGTCCCGAGACCTGTCAGCGAGCCTTCGACACTTCACGTGGCTTCAAAGTGCACCTGGCCTGGCACAGGTGCCGTGGTGACGTCACTGTCACTTAGTGGCGAATGGCGGGTATTGGTATTATTGGTATTGTGTGAGTGTCTGCACCTTGGGTGCACCCTAAAAAAATGTGCACAGGCACGAGTGTGTAAGTCTAGAGCGCATGGTTCTGTCTGTCTCTCTTAGTCCCTGTTGCGCGCTGAGTGTGCATGGGCATATGTGCGTGTTACTCTTGGGTGTGCACTGTGGGAATATGCACATGCGTGTGTAACGTCTCCCGACTCTTGTGTACGCCCCGGGGACGTGCGTGCGTGCTTGAGCGTGTCACCTCGTTGATGGCGCAGGCCGCGTCGCTGTACTCTTCGCGCACCACTTTGCTGAACGCGAGCACCGAAGCGGCTCCCACCGTCAGGAAGCCGGTGCCGGCCGTGAGGAGTCGGTCTCCCGCGCCGCCTGCGGCAGAGGAGGTGGGGCCTTGTGTGGTCAGCCACATCGAGGATTCACCTAAACCTCAACACGTTTAGCAAACGTGCCATGGAAAAGGCCATTGGCCGAAACGTGACCTATTACAGGCATACCCCCTTATAGTGGTCAGGATGCCTTCTTGCTAAAAGGAGGGCTATACGAAACAGCGTCATTGCCTTAATTGTGATACCGTTATATGATAAATGTATTAAAGTATTTTATGAATACAAATAATAACTTTGAATGACACGTAGACATGTGTCTACATGCGAGTTGTATGGGTGGGGAGCAGGAGTGCAACGGTTAGCACGCTGTGCTACAAACTCGGCAACCCGAGTTAGATTCCCGCTCAAGGCCAACACCAGTGACGATTCTCTGAACCGGTTATGGACCTCCCCTGGGTCGACTTATCCTCAAATGAGTACCTGGTGCGGTGTGTAAACATCGCCACTCGGGAGACAAAGGCGGTTTGAGCGTGGTGCTGGCCACCCAGCCCCTCGTGTGCCGTGCTGGCCTTCACAGTGCTCAGTCACAACACTTGCCCCAACAGTCTGTCAAGGCTAGACGGGGGATCTTTGTCTTTTGTGTGGGAGCAAAATCTGGGCCCATGTGGGAGTTTGTCGAGCTCCTTTCAAGGGTGGGTTCCCACGTGCAGCCCCCACCGCCCCCCGGAAACCAAGCGAGGCAGGCTTGCTCGCGGGAGCGCTAAGGCATCCACTGCTGTCACGTTTACAATTGGCAAAGGTGATGAGTAGGCTGCTGTAACTATAAACGCGATTGGGTCGTTGGCTGTTTGGGGACAGGACACGCGATAATGTCAAGAGGGAAAGCGGCAGTGTCGCGCTTCACGCAGGAATTTTGAAACGTGCAGGAATTTTTCGCAACAGGAATTCTCGTCCAGGACAAAGAGCGCCATAACGAAACAGCGTCACAAGAGGACAGCGCTATAAGGGGTATAATGCCTGTGTATATTTTATCTTTTAAGGCCAGTGTGGGGGAGCTTTTTGATATTTGTATTCGCGCGCCACTGCCGACGAAAATATGTTCCATCTGCAAGAAAGATGTGGGGTGCGTGTAAAGTTGTTGCTTTAAAAGTTGTGACTGAAATCTGCGTTGTGTCGTTACGAGGATTGATCCCGCTCTCCAATGTCAGTCAGCCGGTCGCTCCCCTCAATTTAATCCGGAGATGAAATTAACCCTTTGAGACGTGTGAAACGCCGTCATTTAAAGTGCGTAATATTTAAAAGTTACTTTCATTTAAACTGAACATACCGATGGTGAATCGCACTTTAAAATGTTCACTGTCCAAGGAAATCTGACAATATGTAGAAAGGAAATGACCAGAATAGGTAAATAGAGGCAATGGAGAAAACTGCACAAAATTTAACTAAATGTGAACAAAAAAATCTAAGGCAGCCAGAAACACACTCCGAGTTTTCGGATTATACTGCGTTGTTTGGCACGATGTCCGACGTTTTGCATCACGTGCCGGGCTTCTCCATTCGGTTTCATTATGCACCTAGAAGCCGCTACCCGCAGTTATCGACTAGTGCGCAGGCAGTGCAACTGCATCGAGGACCATGGGCCGGAGGTGCCCTGGTACCGGACTATGAAGAGAAGGCGAAATTGGACAGGGGGGTGGTGGGGGGGCGCTCATTTGATTTATAGCACCAGGGCCCGTGCCACTCACTGTGCTACTGGCACCACCTGGACCCCTTTGGGCTCCCATGTTGGACTCGTAATTGAGCCCCTGTGAGTGAGTGAGCCCCTGTGAGTGAGTGAGCCCCTGTGCGCTCGTTCAGTTGGGCGGTGGTGGATATCCACGGTGGTGGTTATGCACGTGGTGGCTATGCACATCGTGGCTATGCATGGTGGTGGCTATGCATGGTGGTGGCTATGCATGGTGGTGGCTATGCAAGTGGTGGCTATGCACGTCGTGGCTATGCATGGTGGTGGCTATGCATGGTGGTGGCTATGCAAGTGGTGGCTATGCACGTCGTGGCTATGCATGGTGGTGGCTATGCATGGTGGTGGCTATGCACGTGGTGGCTATGCACGTGGTGGCTATGCACGTCGTGGCTATGCATGGTGGTGGCTATGCATGGTGGTGGCTATGCTAGTGGTGGCTATGCACGTGGTGGCTATGCACGTGGCCTGCAATTATTATTTACAGAGGGTCCCAGCACGACAGAACGGCTCGGAGTGAATACCTGTCACGAAGGTGTAGGAGCCACTCGGGTTCGCCCTGACGAGGGGAAAGAAGACTTTCCACGCGGTGAAGGTGCTGAAAAGGAGGTCTTGGAAAACCTGGGAGGGAGAGGGGTTCCAGCGGAGAGGGGTTCCAGAGGCTGTTATCATCGTCATCATTTATCCGTAAGAGCAGCAGCAGAATGCAGCGGCAGTCATCGTAATTGGCACGTACTAAAAATAACAAGACGGAAACAGACTATCGTCATCATTGTCATCATCACCAATGATTAATCCCCTGCTGGATGAGGGCCTCCCCATGCTGGGTTGTTGTCGTTGTTGTTTGACCAGACTTCACCACGCTGGTCATTGCGGGTTTGTAAAGGAGGTCAAATGTATCGGACCTCTCGCTGAGCACCTGACTGGTACAGATGCCCCTATCCAGCATAGTTTACCGAGGTCTTCGAAGCATGCGAGCTTCTTCGCCATGTCCAGATGAATGTATGAAGCAATGTCCCCTTGTCGAGTTCATTGCTCAGATGTATCGTGTGCAGGGTTTTCCTCACCCCAGACAGGAAAAATCTGTGGGCTCGCGTGCGTGCATGCGTATGTATGGTGGGTGTCTGTGTGTGTGTAACGTGAGTGTGTGTAGAGTGTGTGTAGAGTGTGTGTAGCGCGAGTGTGTGTACCGTGCGTATGTGTAGCGTGAGTGTGTGTAGATTGTGTATAGCGTGCGTGTGTGTAGAGGGTATGTAGCGTGCATGTGTGTAGAGTGTGTGTAGCATGAGTGTGTGTAGCGTGTTTATTGTCCGGCAAAAACAACCCCCTACCTCCTCGTTGGTGCCGGACGGCAACGCTGTGGTGGGCAGTGCCGTGGGGGGAAGGCCAATTTAGATTGACCATTCCCCTCATGGCGTTTGTAACCACTACAGCAGCTAAATAGGGGCTCTGGACGGGTGCGAGGGGCTGGTAAACCTTCCACCTTCAATTAATTCATTACCACCAAACCAGGATTTAAAAATGTAATTAAGCTTGTGCCGGAGGCCCCGGGGGGACAGGCGTCTATGACGTCTCCAGGCCAAACCCAATTTGGCGGAGCCAGGAGACTGCATCCTTACCCTTGGGGTTCTTCCAAAAACAACAAAAAAACCACTACGGGTGGCCACATGGAATGTTCGAATGCTCACTGTGGAGGAGAGGCTGCCACTCCTCTGTCGGGATCTGGACCGGTACCGCCCGGATCTTTGTGGTATTCAGGAGGTCCAGTGAAACGGCTCTGGCTCCTGCCACCATGAGGGGTGGACAGTCCTCTACTCGGGGCAGGAGACTGCCAAACAACAGGGAGTGGCTCTTCTTCTGAACAAAATAATTAAGGAGGCGTGGGAGCGTGGCGGAGAGGTGTGGGAAGCTGTAAGCCCCAGGCTACTTTTGGCTTGCCTTCCCATCAACCTGAGGCGAGGAGTGGTAGTCGTGGTTACTTATGCCCCCACCAAAGACGAACATCCGTGGAGGGGTGCAGGCAAGGCCGATGAGTCAGATGCCTTCTTTGACCTGTCACAGGTGCTAGCTAAAGTGGCCCCTCGGGATAGAGTCATCTTGTTGGGTGACTTCAATGCCCGAGTTGGTCATGATGCTGATACCTGGTCTGGAGTGATTGGAAGGCATGGGCCAGATCAGCTCAATGACAACGGCAGGAGGCTGCTAGATTTTTGTGCAGCCCATGGGATTGTAATTACCAACACACTGTTCTGGCATCGGCGCATCTACACAACATCATGGATGCATGCCGGGTCCAAGGAAGAACATCTGCTGGACTATATAGTGATGGAACAGCTGATGCCGGCCCATTTCCTTGACACCAGGACCTACCATGGAGATGATCTGCACACTGACCATCGACTTGTCATTTGTAAGATGTGCCTGCCATTCTTCCACTCCAGTGGTGGGTGTACACCCAGGCCCCCATTCAAACCCATAGTGGCATGGTCTCAGCTAGCTGATGAAAGTTGCAAGTGAGAATTCATCATGGCTGGGGTTGGCATCATCCCCCACTCCTCCTGATGTCGAGGGGAAATGGGCAAGGTTTAGGACTGTGGCTCATGCAGCTGCAATGGCTGATTTGGGTACACGGTCCAGACCTCCCCAGAGACCCTGACTGACAGAGGAGGTGTTCAGGCTGGGTGAGAAAAAGCGACAGGCCCACTCTCACCGTCTGCAGCATCCCACATCAGAGAATGAGGAGGCTTACCGCAGCCTTCACTCGGAGGTTCGGAGAGCCGTGAGGCTGCAAGGATGGGTGGTGGTCGCAGGTTGCTGAGGAGATGGAGTCTGCCTAAATGGACCACGACCACAAATCGCTCTATAACGCCATCAAAAAAGTAACCTACAGCGCCACACCTATTACCATCATTAGGGGAAAGAATGGTGATCTAATCTCCGACCCCCAGGAACAGGTTTGCAGATTTTCTGAGCAATTATGTGAGGTCCTGGGGGAGGGGAAATCCCTTAGCATGAAGAACATCATGGGACAAAGTGGGGATGACCCTGCTGAGGCTGCAGTGCCTCAAACTTTGGAAGAAGAAGTAAACCCCTGTGAGTGGCTGGCTGAGGTGCCATCTGTTGAGGAAGTACTGAAGGCGCTCCGGAGTCTGAGAAAGGCACCGGACAGAGATGATCTCCCAAGCGAAATGCTGAGGGAGGGTAGCGTTTGTGCACAAACTGCCCTACATGACATCATAACAGCAGCCTAGACCACTGGACCGGTTCCGCAGGATTAGAAGGATGCCCTGGTGGTCCCCCTCTTTCAGAAGGGGGACCGCACAGACTGTAACAACTACAGAGGCATCTCACTCCTCAGTGTGGCGGGAAAGGTCCTGACAAGGATTATTCAACATCACCTTGCCAGGCATGCTTAGGAGAGGCTTGCGGAGCCCCAATGCGGTTTTAGGAAAGGGCGGTCCTGCACAGATGCCATATTTTCTGTCCGTCTGCTATAGCAGAGGTGTAGGGAATTTCAACAAGACCTACATCTCTGCTTTATTGACCTGGTCAGTAGGCCTGGGCTCTGGGTTATTCTTCGTGCTTTCGGAGTCCCTGACCCTCTGCTCACGATCATTAAGGACCTTCATGATGGTGAGCGGGCCCGAGTAAAACCACGTAGCCGGGAGTCGGAGCCATTCCCTGTTCACCTTGGGGTGCGACAGGGATGTCCTCTGGCTCCCACATTATTTTTCATCTATTTCGACCACATAGTTCGTGAAGCCTTCAATAGCTGTCCCGGAGGAATTTCCATCTTGTACAGATACAATGGGAGGCTGATCGATGCGCAGGTGCGGTCAAGGGATGGCTCCCTATTGCTCAACCATGTTATATATGCCGAAGATCTGGTCATTGCTGCTCACTCAGAGGAGGAGTTGGAGGTGCTGCTGCTGAACCTGGAGCTTGCTACTAAGAGGTGGGGCCTTACCATCAGCCCCATCAAAACTAAGTACCTGCCTGGGTATTTTGTACCATCGGACACTCCACCCCCACAACTCCCAATTGGTGATAGGGCAGTTGTGGAGAGAGAGGAGAGTTTCCCATACCTGGGCAGTGTGCTCATGACTGGCTCCGGTTTGACAGCAGAGGTCTCACTCCGAATCAGTCGAGCGAAATTATATTTTCATCGGTTGCATAACGCTGTGTGGAACCTACCTGGTCTGTCGCTACGCACGAAGCTTCAGGTCTTCTCGGTCACAGTCATTCCCTCCATTCTCTACGCTTACGAAACGTGGACCCCCCTAATGGAAAATCTTTGTCGGTTAGAAACATTTAGGCTGGCCTACCTACGATTCATCCTGGGTTTAATGAGGCTGGATTGTGTGAGGAGCTCACAAATCCTTGAAAGATCTGGACAAAGTCCCATCGGTGAGCTACTCCGGCAGGCAAGGCTGCGTTGGCTGGGTCATGTAGCCCACATTCCCAGCCACCGCATGCCTAAACAGCTTTTGTTCGGCGGGATCGAAGGGGCTAAACGGGTGCATGGGTCAGTCAGTCGACCTGTGGCACCTGGGTCTGCCCCGTGACCTCCTGCCAGTGGGCGTTCGACACTTCACGTGGCCTCAACGTGCACATAGCCTTGCACAAGCGTCGTGGTGCTATCACCACCACTTAGTGGCGAATGGCGGTTGTTGTTGTTGTAGCGTGCTTGTGTGTAGAGTGTGTGTAGCGTGCGAGTGTGTGTAGCGTGAGTGTGCGTGCACGTGCATGTGAAGGTCACGTTCACGAGTTTATTCCATCACCACACGTGGCGTGATATGCAGTCACGGTCATAAAGATTACAGTTATCACTAGATTATTGCTTCTACCCGTTAAGTAGCAGGTGCATTTCACTAGTTACAGTTATTAAGGTGTGGTATTGCTTTGTATTTAGACTCGAATACATTTCAATTTTGCACGACTTTAGTATTACCCAATTGATTCTTAACAACGCAATGTTTTAAGTCATCATGATGTCCATAATAGAAGTTTTTTTTTGGGTTAGATCGCGTAAATATATAAATGTGTCTTTTAAACCCGCCACCACCCGACGCAGCCAACTAGTAAGGGTTGTCACGTATACAGAACATGCCAATTCGTCACTAGTACATCACACTGGTGTGTTGGAGAGCCAAGCCACAACATTTACAATCTGAGTTCGACGTTTCGCCAGGAATTACAACTAGCTTCATCAGGCGACAGCCAGATTTGTGGAGAAGTCTACTGTTTCGTTCCTTATGTAGAGGCGTAGATGTGGTGATCATGCTTCTGCGCTCTTGCGCAAAGTGGCGGGAGGGGGGTCAACGTACATTAGGCATGCGCATTACGGGTGGTGGCGGATTTTAACAACACATGTATATATTTAGGCAATCTAACCTAACCAAAAAAACCCTTTATTATGGATGATATTGGCCACGAAAGCCTACGTGTTCATCATGATGCCTTTTTTGATGTATTTGAACTGTACCTGTGGTATGCCAACACGTACCAGCTCCGGGTTATGTCTGCTAGATTTTCACAAGTTGGTTTCTTGTGTTCATAACGAGTTGTCTGGTTGCACACAATGTTGTCTTCCTCAAATTATTATTCCACACTTTATCGCAGTTGTGGTTCAAGTTCAAGTTGATTTTTTTTTTACCGGTCGAGAACTCAAGATACCAGGAGAAATATCATATGCAGTGGTGAGTGACTGAATGGGTCACTGGGTGCGTGGGAGCCAGTCGGGGGCAATGCTTGCTGCTACATATAATCCCAAATTGAGTAATTTGTCGATGATTTTTTAGTTGGTGAATTTGGGCCCTGATGCCGGTACACAATGGCCTACTCTAGCGAATAACGTCAAGGGATCTCTGACGTCCAAAGTGAAGCGGACGGCGCGTAGTGTCATTACGGATTAATACGTACCCTAGTATTAACCCGGGCAGCCGCTCGATTCGAACCGTGAGTCCTGGTCCGAACCGTTCCTAGGCCTCTTTGCCTTCACCAATCCTTACCACCGAGCAGAGTGAAGTATAATTAAACAAACCCCCAATTACCAACACGGAGCATTGGAGTGACAAAGGTGCTGTTAAAATGTCTAACGGTCATGAGCTTCAAATGTCGCAAAGGTTCCATCATGCCGAAAAGACCTGGCACAAAACTGGTATCGTAATGAACATGGACAGAAGGGCGGAGATCGTCTCATTATGACCCCAGGGCTTTGTGAGTCACCGTGGGTTCCCCGTGGGTCCCCCGTGAGTCCCCTGTGGTTCCCCTCACCCACCCGCTGCAGCTCAACCAGGTCCTGGTCGAGGAGGGACCCCCCCTGCCACCAGCTGAAGCCGAGACACGAGACGATGTCCGTGATGACGGGAGCGGCCGCCAGCAGCGCGGTGCGAGCCTTTTCGGCTCCGCGCTCCGAGCCTGCGGTCCCACGTTAATGGGAAACACGGGGAGAGACACGGGGAGAAACGACACGGATTGACACGGGGAGAGATATGGGGATAGAAAGCAAGGGGAGATACCCGGGAAGAGACACGGGGAGAGACGCGGGAAGAGACACGGGGAGAAGACGCGGGAAGAGACACGGGATGAGACACGGGTAGACAAATGGGACGAGACACGGGGAGAGACACGAGGAGAGACACGAGTTGATACGGGGAAAGACACGGGGAGAGACACGGGGAGAGACACGGGAAGAGACACGGGGAGAGACACGGGAAGAGACACTGGGAGAGACACTGGGAGAGACACGGGGAGAGACACGGGGAGAGACACGGGATGACACGGGGAGACACGGGGAGAGACATAGGGAGATACACGGGGAGACACGGGGAGACCTTGGGGAGAGACACGGGGAGAGATACGGGGAGAAACACGGGACGAGACGCGGGGAGAGACATGGGATGACACGGGGAGATGCACAGGGAGAGGCACGGGGAGTGACACGGGACGAGACACGGGGAGAGACATGGGATGACACGGGGAAAGACACGGGATGACACGGAGAGAGACACATGGAGAGACACGGGGATAGATACGGGGAGAGACACGGGACGAGACACGGGCAGAGACACGGGAAGATACACGGAGAGAGACGCGGGAAGAGACGGGGAGAGACACGGGGAGAGACAGGGGGAGAGACGCAGGGAGAGACGCGGGGAGAGACGCGGGAAGAGACACGGGATGACACGGGGAGACACGGGGTGTGGGGGTGAAGATGGGGCAGACGGGTATTGGAGGGGGATGGTTTTGATATTCGTAGTGGTGCAGATTGTAGGTGTACGATGCTAAGGTTTTTGATGTTGCTGAATTAGGGTGTGGAGCATATTCACGTCGCCAGTGAGGTCAGTGAGTAAGGGTCAGATCGTCGATGTTTGAATGGTTATGGCATTGATAGTGTTGACGATGGTGGAGTTCGTGGTGATGGTGGTGATAGAGTGTTGGTGGAGTTGGTGTTGATGATGGCGTTGATGGCGGTGAGGGTGTTGAAGTTGGGTGATAGTGGTGGTGGTGGCAATGTTGATGTTGAGCGATGGTTGTGATGTTGGGCCCATACCCACATTCCCTACGAGCGACACGAGTCTGGGTTTGCTGCTCTCCGGGACGTCCTCAGCGAGCTTCCCCAGCCGCGCCTCATCTCGCGAGATGACAGCCACACGGAAACCTACATCATCATCACCACCACCATCAATTAATCATGATTCCATGCATTCACCATGATGATGTTGGGGTCTTTACCTGATTATAAATAGGAGTGTATATTCATCACAATCGGAGTTAATATATGTTCACCACCACCACCACCATCATCGACAACCGTGGTAGCAAATTTGGGCTCCTTTGCGACTGAAGTTGATGCTGCTGCTGTTGCTCGTCATTGCTGTAGCTCTTGCCGCTTGCAGCAGCTGGTGATTGATACAGGAGCTCAAACGGGACCCTATCCCTGATCACACCTCGCACCGCAAGTGCAAAGTCCCCGAACTGCAATCCGTCCTCGGCGATAATCGTTCATGTGCTCTCGGAATGCTGTAGAGATATTTACACCCAATACACAAACACGGATTGAGTGTGCGTTCCTGCAATAGCCACCGCTGGGTTATATTTAACACTATTGATCAGCAGCAGCCATGGTCGATCCACTGCTGTATGAAGACCTCCTCCCCACACCGTTGCCATCCTTCACAATAGTCCTACCGTGCCACAATTGATCTCAATCCGACTCACGAGCTAATTTCCAAACTCCACACCTTCCACTGAAGAGCGTGCAAACTCATCGTCAACAAAAGTTGAGCGTACTTGTATTTAACACTCGTTTTTGATAATCTAGAATGTGATTGATAATGAGCTTAAAGGTACAATCCACTGCTGGATGAAGGCCTCCCCATGCAATTAGTATGACTACACTTGTTTACCCAGGAGAGCCTCACCAGTCATAGGGCTTGTTTGACCATACTTCACCACCCTGGCCAGTGTGGGTTGTGGGTGCCGGCGGCCAGGAGCAGGTCAGATGAGACTCGTCACTGACGTTAGCCGCTGGCTGAGGGACAGGGCTTCATGACAGCTGGATCTGTCCGGTTCATTGACCTGGGAAATATTTTCGCTCCCGGCACAGCACATTCAGTCTACCTCCTACTATGTATGTGGCTAATAGCCACGTGCCACTGACTCTAGTCTACCAGTGATGGCTCGGACAATGTTCAGTAAGAAATGAAGCCGTGGCTTGGAATAGCTCAGGGTGCGAACTACAGCGCCACCACTCCTGGGCAATGCCACTTCTCTCGTGAACCCTACACGGCGTAAATTATTTCAGTGGATTTTTGCGCGATGAGTCCAATTGGAGCCCTTGCTATTTGTGAGCGTGAGGGTCAGTTGAGTGCCACGCGCTTCACATCCATGACCGTGGCGAACAGGCAATGTGGCGTTTGTCTGCGACCCAGCGCTTTGGAGGCAAGGGTTGGTGGATCGCACAGAGATTTGTGAAACTCCCGAACTTGTGTTGGCTGAGTGGTGTTCAGTATAGGAGAAGGCAGTACAGAAAGTGGATTCATGAGTGTTATACTGAAGCCTTTGGATATGTGTACCATAAAATACTGTCCATAATTTTAAACTTTACATTTCCAGAGCCCTCTTGTCTCTCTGCGTGTTTCCCTGTGTGTCTGTGTCTGTGCGTGGGTACGTCTCTCTCCCCGTCACTCTCAGTATTTGAGTGTCTTTGTGTCTATGAGTGTTTCCAATGCCTTGGTCACTCTGTGTCTCCCCGTGACAATGTGTACGTCTCTCTGTTTCTCTCTCAATGTCTCTGTGTCTCTATCATTGGGCGCCGCAGTGGCGAGATGTTGACTTCCTCGCCTGGTATGCAGGAGGTCGTGGGTTCTATTCCGAACCTGACGCTTGTTGTATATTTAGAGTTGGCATGTTCTCCCAGTGGTCGCGTGGATTTGTTCCCTGGGTCCTCCGATTTTTCGCTACACATTTTGAAACACGCGTTGAGAGTATTTTGCTGCTATAAATTTCCACATGATAAGCCACCTCGCTGAGCTATTATTTGTGGCCAGGTCGTTTCTGAAAAAGAGCTACATAGCTCAGTGGGCTTTACTTGGTCAAATTAAACATTTAGTTATCGGTACTTCATGCGCCCGATATATGCATCGAATCGTGTACAATCAATGCTCGATTCGTTCCATAGTTTGTCTCATTTGTATACCAACAGTATAACCACAACAGCATACATTTCCACACACGATAGGCCACTTCGTTGAGCTATCATTCGTGGCCAGGTCACTTATGAAAAAGAGGTATACAGCTCAGTGGGCCTTACCTGGTCAAATAAAAAAACATATTTATAGTCTACTCACACCAATCAACACTATAAGCATCATCACCAATACCGCCGTCAGACCCCTTCCGCCCCTCTCCGCTATGCCACCAGGCGGCGCTGCAGGTAGCAGCTGGTGCCCCCTGTGCCAGGGCGGCACATCAATGGTGTCAGACGCCGCGTCAAGTGACAGCCAACGGCTGGAACTGAGGTCACGGATCCCACCGTGAATCCCGTGGTCGTGAGACCAAATGTGGACGGAGATTGGACTAAAATTTGGATATGGATTTTCAAAGTGCTGGTGATGAGACCCTATATATTGAGGGGTTGCCATGATACCCCCTAGGTGCTGGCAGTAAACTCCCGATATTTAGGGGGTCGTGATGGGACGCCTTCTATTGGCGGTGACGAGGCCCCCTCTAGAAGTAGTGACGACACACTGCCTCAGGTATGATCAATGGCAGCGATCGACAACCTGCGGCTCCGGAGCCAAATGCGGCTCTTTAAGGACTGCTCCGTGTCGTTATTTATTAAGGACCGTCGTCTCATATTCACCACACAGTGCATTGCGGTGCTCTTGAAAGATTGAGGTTGTTTTTTTCTACCGAATTCGAAATCTAAATGTCGCTTCTTGTTATTTTGGTTGCGGACCCCTAATCACATGGGATGGACTCCACCGCCATACCTGTGAGGATTGGTGCTAATTCACCAACTCAAGAGTTCGCGACGAGGCGCCCCCACTCCTCTCACCTCGCTCGAGCAGGGCGCGCACGGCCCCGGATCCCACGACCCCGGCTCCTCCCAGCACCAGCACCACGCGCTCCGCTCCCGACATCGCGACCGCGGTCTCATTCGCGACTCCCTCCTCCCCTCCCCTTTATAGTCGCGACCCAGCAGCGTCGAGACAACCCCCTCCCTGACTCCACCTCCCCCACCTACCCCACCCATCCCTTCTCCCAACCCTCTACCCATCTCTCCCTCCCTCCCCATCCATCCCTCCCTCCCTCCCCTATCCCTCCTTCAGTCCCACATCCCTCCTTCACCCCCCCCATCCCTCCTTCACCCCCCCCCATCCCTCCTTCATTCCCCTCCCTTCCCTCTCCCTCCCTACCGCTATCCCCACCCCGCCCCTCCCCCTCCACCCAGACCCCAACAGCGCCCGCGAGCGACCCCTTTTACTCGTTCCGCGTGCGGTGTTTTTCAGTGCATGGGGATAGAGACCAGGAGACGTTGGTTGGACGTTTGATATTCGTTTCGCTGTGAATCCCATTAAAAATAAGATCTATAACAGACCGAAACGCTTTTAATCCTATATATTAAAAACATCCTATAACACCATGACGGCAAAACTAAGCCATTATGCATACCATTCCAACTGTAATGTGAAGAAAGGCAATTGTAAAACTGTGGTTAACACTGGTGTTGCTGTGAATCATAAAACCAATGTGAAACCCCACACAGAAATCCTATAACACACAATAACGCGATTGCGGCAAAACTAAAGCAATTCGCCACACCGCTCCAACTGTCATATGAAAGACAAATTGTGAAATTGTGTGGTAGCACTAATGTCTATCACACATTATTATCACTTTTAATCCCATAGACAAATCACACCATTCCGTCAAGAGGTCAGGAAATTGTGAACATATGTGGTAACAGTTGTTTTGTGAATCTTAGCAAACATTTGTGAAACCCCCATGAAGGAATATTAGAACACAACTATAACGTTATATAACAAACATCTCCATCAATTACACATGAGAGGGTTGTCTCCGGCTTGAGCGAGTCTTGGTAGTGCTGGCTCACACCTGAGTCGTTCTCTCTTCAAGAGTGAGCGAATAACGTGCAGCATAGTATTAGTATACGTTGAAACTATTATTATCCACTAAAAAACAAACTACTTTCAAAAACCATCATGGTTGGCTTTGTAGATTAAGAACATTGCTTTTGATCGTGTGAAAAGTTTCCACCCTGTTCAAATCCTGGATTATCGGCAAGGCTAAACATCCTCCTTCAGCCGTACCTAGCTCAGCTTTAAAGGTGCAACAACGGCCTTAGAGACAAAAGGGCAATGGGAGAGCTGACAGAAGCAGACGCCCTGTGGTGTCTTGGTTTATTAGAGGTCCAATTAATATCGACTCCTAAGCTAACCAATAAAATGCACATCACACGCATGGGTTTTCACAAATATATGTCACGATTCACACCAAAACCAGTGTTACCACCTATATTTTTATTTTTTACAATCGCCTTCCTGCATATTACAATGGGAATGATGTGGCTAAGTGCTTTGGTTTTGCTGCCATAGCATGATAGTGTGCGAAAGTATATATATTTTTTTATGTTTTTACATAAAAATAAGGATTTGTACGTGTTTTCACAACAAAAATTATGATTTACAACGAATCTAATGGTACCACACAATTCCACAACTTCCTTTGTGCATATCACAGTGGTAATGGTGTAGCCAAGTACAGCCTGTTCTCCTAGAACGCCGCGTGTTTTCACAACGCGAATTGGATATAACGCAATTAATTTATTCGGGAACACGTTTTTTGTTATAACGCAGACGCGAACTGGATATAACGCGATTGAGTGAACGGAACTACTTTGCGCTGCGTTGGCGCAGCGTCATTGCACAATGCATTGGGATGCTGCTGGATGCTTCTAGATGCTACCCACGCGCCTCGGTTTCTGTTCAGCCTGCGCACGCATCTCACGTGTTATCGCGGACTGTGCTTTACCCTATATTATATATTATACCGCGTTTTTCCCATAACGCGGTGTTCTTCAGGAACGCAACGCAACCATTATAGGAGAACAAACTGTAGTTTGGTTTAGCTGTTATAGTATTTTGGTGTTATATAGGATTTATTTACTGCTTTTCACAAACAAATAATCGGATTTACGGAAAAAAACAATGTTGCCACGCATATTCACAATTTCCTTCCTGCATATGAAAGTCGGAATGGTGTGGCTAAGTGCTTTGATTTTGCTGTTATTGCATCATAGTGTGCTACAGGATTCCTTGTATGTTTTCACAACATTTCTTTGAGCATGCACAGTGAAACCAATGGTTTCCAGTGAAAACAATGGTTTCCAACAATGGCACCGTGCAGTATTTGCCCCCACGTTGCGTAAGGGTTTTCTCCATGTTCCTACATTTTCCTTCCCACGTGTATGAATGCCCGTTCATTTGGCTGAACATATCTCGTGAGTAGAGCCACAGAGCCGCTGGCTTCCCGCACGTATGTGGCGCCTCACCCCTCTTAGTAGTTCTCTTCCTCTCTCTCTTTGAGAATGAGCGAAATACTTTGATGGTGGCGCCGTTACAAGTTCACATCATTATAATTTTTATCGGAATGTGGAATTCCCACCACTGTGAAGGAGCCGATGAACGCTCTCGCTCACTTCATTTTGGTTTCTATCGCCACCCAGCGTCCGTTTTTAGCAATCACACTTTCACTTTATTCGGGGTGGCTACAACAATTGAACCTTATGGCGGGACCCCGGGGTCCAATAAGACCCCCCGGCTCTCGCATACACATTATAATGTAAATACAAATTTTGCTCTTTTTCACTAATGGGTTTGAAGGATGGTGGCAAGTGTTGTCTTGTTAAACTATGCCTATAAAACTGAAAACTACTTACCTGCAGTACCTCTATTTAAATATACGATCGAAAAAATAGTTTACACCCCTCTGTCAATCATTGTGTTTCTCAGTGTGGATTTGTGAACACACTTTGTAATCAGTACATAATATAGTACGCGTTTTCAACGCGCTGTTCATATTGTAGCAAGTGTTTATACCAATGTAGTGGGTTCTACGGAGGCACACACTTGAACTTGGAGGCAACACGTTTATTATAACACCCCACCAGGGTTTCTACATAAACGTACACAGTTATTAGACCCCAACAGGGTAACTACATAAACGGGTCAGGTCAGCAACACACTGTCTGGTCCACGATGCCGAGCGTAACGACCGAAGACCGAATAGACGTAGCACCGAGGGTTCCGTTCCAGCAGACAGCCGCGATTGCTCTCAGGACCTCTCTTTTATGCTCCCGAGCGTGGCCTTGCTCCGCCCTCGGCCACGCCCCCTTCTGGATCTCACCAGAAGGTTCTCGACCGAGCACCACGTGTCCCTCAAGTCACCATTTGGGCCCCCTCGCTACCCTGTACCGGTCACGTGCCCTCTCGGGTTCACCCAGACTGTCACGTCCTCACTTGCCCTCTCTCTGACCGCCACCAGAACCATGCCCCCTAGGGCCCGCTTCCATACCATGCCTACTCTGGTGTCAGAGAGGCTCAAAGACGCACAGCTCCACTCTTGTGACAGTAGCTGTCGCTTAACGCAATAGTGACTCCATGTACGTCACTACACCAATGTTACTCTACAGAGTAGTGGGTCGCCGCTCCTCTTATCCACATTGACACGAGCGGTATGTGGAGACTATGGCTTAACCACAAAAGAAACCTATCTTCACAGATGCATACGGACAAGAGAAGTATTATCAAACAGGAGGAACTAACGGTGCAACGCATCCCATCTGTTAAATATCTGCAGGTAATCGATCCTGGCTGCAGACATTGGTAGGTCACAAATAATAATAAAGATAAGAGAGTAGTTCCACTGTATTATGCACACCGTTGTGACAAATGAAGGACTTAAGTCGTGTAGGCAGTTTGAGCAGCTTTGGAAAAGACTTTTGATTCTGGCCATACCCGAGCATGGAGTGCATTCGCTTGTTCAGCTCTTCTGCGCATTCGTCCTCATTGCGCTTGGACATGACAACAGAATGATCCGCACCAGGTGGGTCGTGGCGTTTATGTGTGCGGTGGGACGGAGTCGCCAAAAATAAATTAATTACGATTTTGACTTTCGTTTATTCGGGACCCCGGGGTCCCGCCATAAGGTTCAATTGGCAAAAAGGTGAGGTCGCCTTTAAGCGTTCCCGGTTTTGCTGATTGAAAAAATATATAAGTTGGCGCAATTGCCGATGTGACACACTTGCTTTCTTCACAATTCTGGCTGTCGCCTGATGAGGCTGCTTGTAATTATTGTGGGTTTATTCTCCAACATACAGGTGTGCTGAACTAGTGGATGGGGAGTGGGGGGAGGGGTGAGGGGAGCCCAATAATTAATTGCAGACACGGAGGACAGGCACCTGCAAGCGCTGTTTCTTTACGTGTGATGTTGGATTTGTTCTTACTTTACTCTATTTTAAAATTCTAATTTGTATTTTTCAAGTAAAAACAAAGTTGTTCAAGAGTGGAAAATGTTGGGGCCTGAAACGTAACTCGGCTTTTGACATGGGACGATGCTCGTTTAACAAATTTTCACTTTATAGCGAGCAACTTTCGCGTAACGTATCCCTTTCGTTAAGCGAGACACGACTGTATTGGTCGTGGAAGCCAACGTACAAAATTGACGAGTAACACGTTTCTTTCAGTCCGGTTCTATTCTTGTCTATGACAGCAGCAATATTTTCAGGAGCTAGAAGATGCCAATGTCAGCATCTGATTGCCACCTGAATGTGAAATTGTAGTTGTTGTTCTGCATCCACATGAGCCGTACAAAGGAAGATTTCCACATTGAGAGGGTTTCAGGAGAGAGTTTGTGTCGTTTTGCTATTTCTCCTGCGATGGGGTGCAGATGGTCCATAGTTTGGGATGCATGCCCACAAATCGCACTTCTGTGGGTTGTTCTTAATGTATCTATATGGGTCTCTATGTATCTGGAATTCACGTATTAATAGAAAATGATGCAAATAAAATGTTGATCGCTTTCACCCAACATTTGGACAATTAATGTGAAATGCCTCACTTGTTATTCCACGCTTAAT